ATAAGACCAGCCTCAATCACTGTTGTTGGTGGGAGGGGTGATAGGAAAAGCAGACAACTCTGGCCTAGTCTGTTTGCCTGGAGTCAGACATTTTCTTAAGTCATCTTTCTGTCTCTGACATATTAGACAACCATTAAGTGGGACATACAGTCACACTGCAACCAGGCACAACACTGCAAATGGCATCCCTACAGATGTCACTAGCCATTAGCAAATCTTTTTGTTTCCAGGATCATCAGGAGCCTTGATCGTGGCTCCTGGGTTGAAGCAGATGTCTGAAGCCGAGAGCTTGATGTGTTGATCCCGTGGTGGATCTGCAACCGTCACCAGGGAAAATTCTTTTCTTGTTTCTTTTTTTTTTTTAAAGATTTTATTTATTTATTTGACAGAGAGAGAGAGAGCAAGAGCAGGAACACAAGCAGGGGGAGTGGGAGAGGGAGAAGCAGGCTTCCCACCTAGCAGAGAGCCCGATGCGGGGCTCGATCCCAGGACCCTGGGATCATGACCTGAGCTGAAGGCAGACGCTTAATGACTGAGCCACCCAGGCGCCCCACCAGGGAAAATTCTATACTTGAGAACAAACAATGTTGAGGCCTTCTTTTAAGATCCTGACCCTTAGCTCTGTCCCCTGGCAGTCTAAGATGGAAGAAGGCTCCCCGGCATGGGTACCACAGGTCCTTCCCACGTCACATGGCTCTTGTTCAAGGCTACCCAGCAAGGATTTGTCTGGAAATCCAAGCCTGTTCCTCATTGTTTTAGCTCTATTGGGTGCAGGCAGGTTGGGGCAAATGGTAAGGAAGCCCCTACATTCCCAGGATGGCACAAAGCAGAAGCTCTTGAGTCTAGTCTCTTCTGGCAAACATTCCCAGGCCAGCCCAGCCCAGAGAGCTATTCCTTCAGAGAGACCAAGTGGACATGGCTCTCATTTGGCCCTTCAACAAGCAATGGATACAAGGAGCTGCAGAGTAGATTCTGTTTGTTCAACTAGACTACAAATTCATTCCATTAAAAGCCATGTTCATATTTCCTTGTCTCCCTACTTGTAATACAATTCCATAAATATATTAAGGACTCAGTAAATTCTTATTGATTGATGGCAGGGATGGGGGTTTTCTAGTCATTTCTTTTCTTTTTTTTTTTTTTCTAGTCATTTCCATACCTTTAGCACATAGATGGCTTTTGCTGATCCCCAGGACAGTTTTTGAATACATAAATAAATGAAAAGAATAGAATGCTACATTAAGACATGGCTTAATAAAGCCTTAGGAAGAATTAGGATTAGCAGAAAGGCTGAGTAATAAAAATGAACGAGTGTTTCTCTGGAAGCCTCTAAAGAAGCCGCTAAAGATTAACTAGCCAAATGATATAAAAGTCATTTCACCTTTGGTTTCTAGTATTATTATGAATAAAACTCAAGGTTCAGAATAGGTGATCTCTCAATGATTTTAGAAGAGGAAAAGGGTTCAAGCCTCTACTTAGGGCTAGCCAGGGATAGGCCCCAAAGAGCCCATCCAGTTTAAAAATAAAGGGGAGGGGTTCTTTTTAAAAGAGAGCAAAAGGTTCATTCTAACAGATTTTTTAAAAATTCACTGCTGGAATTGTTTAGATATTGTTTTGTTTAGAATTTTTCACATCTATGTTCCCAAGTGAAATCAGTCTGTAATTTTCTTATTCTTGTTGGGTTTGGGAATCAATATTAAATGTGTTTGTCTTTTCCTAACAATTTCTTAAATTTATCAATATCTCTATATTTCCTCCAAACAGGACACTTTCTTTTTCTTTTCCTCGATAGTTATAGATAACCTTTTTCTCTCTCTATTGTTTAGTTGTGGTTTCCTCACTAACTTCTCCTCATTTCCCATATCAAATAGCATTTTCCTAGTAAGATATTTTTCTAATTGGAATACTTAATCCAGTTATGTTTTCAGAGGGTCTTTGTTAAATATTTTTGCTCCACTTTTGGGTTTAAAAAATTAGTTGCTATGTAGAAAATTACATGTTTAATGTTTTCTTTTATCCCTTCAGTTCCTCAAAAATATCACTTTATGTCTCCAGGTTACTGTTGAGAAGTTCAATTTTAATATGATATTCCCCCCTCATATGTAATGGGCTTTGATTTTTAAAAGCTTTGAGAGTTTTGTGTTTATTCTTAGTGGTCATACATTTCACAATACTGTTTCCCACTGAGGACTCATCATTTATTTTTTGGAATCTTTGTAAGTCTTTTAAAACTGAGTCCTTAGGTCTTTTTTTTTTTTCCCTGCGAAATTCTCAAAATCATTTCTTCAAATTTTTCCTCCCCTGTATTGATCTTTTTCCTTTCCTTCTGAGATTCCAATTATATGATTTTTGGCCCATATCACTTAACAATTTTTTTTGTATTTACCATTTATTTGTGCCTATCTTTTTTTATAGAATAACTTGTTTTGATATTCCAACTTATTAGCTTGTTCATGTTATCCATTCTACTCTCAATCTTTATTTCATTTGTTTTTTTTAAGATTTTATTTATTTATTTGGGAGAGAGAGCTAGCAAGTGCATGGGGGTGGGGGGGGCGGGTAGAGGGAGAGGGAGAAGCAGACTCCCCACTGAGGAGGGAGCCTGACATGACTCAGGCTGGATCCCAGGACCTGGAGATAATGACCTGAGCTGAAGAAAGCTGCTTAATTGACTAAGTCACCCAGGCGCCCCATTATTTCATTTATTTTTTTATGTTCCATATCCCCAGTTAATTTTTCTTCATAATGGATTATTGCTTCATGTGTCCAATAATTTCTCTTATCATTTTTATTATATTTATTAGACTACTTTTAAATGATTTTTCTGTCTGGTCCATGAATTCTACTTCATGGGGTAAGGGTGATCCAGTGTGTCTTTCGATCACGGTACTTTTGTTCCTCAGGAGTCTTCCAGATGCTGCCTGTGAGTTCACACTGCCCTGAGGTTATCTGCTACCTTGATTGCAAATACAAAGTGTGGAAAGGGGGAAAAAAACCTCAGGCCCCAGTTTGGATTGCTTCTGGGGACTCTTGGGAGCTGGAACTATTGTGTTGAGGCAGGTAGTCTTTGGAATTATGAACTGGGCTCTCATTCATGCTGTGTTAACTCTTATGCTCCAATACACCTTCTCCCCCCTAAGGCCTCCATTTTTTTTTTTTTAACAGTCTCATTTCTAGGCTGTCATCATGCAAAGGGACTCAGAGATGGGAGCCTGAGGAGGTGGGGGCGCTCATGCTGGGAGGAGGAAATAGCCAGGTGCCCGCAAGTCTATCAGTGTTCTATCACCTGCTCCTCACTCGGGCTGGGCTCCCTAGATTTGGGAGGCTACTTCCTCCCTGTTCTGAGCTGATTTCGCTGTTTTTCTGCCTCTTTTTTTTCTGTCTCTGGCACTGCAGTGGTGGAACCAGGGCGGTGTGGGGAACCGAACAGGCAGAGCCCGGCAGCTCTCTCCCAAACCTACCCCACCGCTGATGGAGGCTATGTCCCACGTCCCCACTCCCAATCCCAGACAGGGACCTGACCACCTTCTATCTCTCTCCAGGAATTCCCTTCCAGTTTTATTTGTTTTTTTGGGGATCCATCAACCTGACTCTCTTGCTTTTACGGCAACTCCGAGGTAAGGGTTCAGCCGCCATGCTCATGTGACATCTTTTCAGGAACGAACAACTCGCCCACCAGTGGCTGTCAGAGTCCATAGGGCTCCTCCAGGACACATTAGGTCCTTTAGGTGACTCAGGCTCATTCCTTTTACTGATTCTTGTTTGTTTTCTTTTAATATTAAAAGTCTTTTAAAATCTTATGCTGAATCCTAATATATAAAATGGGTAAGATCAGTGATGCTCTCACTGGAGAAGGAATGGGGACCCAGGATTCTGCCTCTTTTAAGCAGCACTTCCCACCCCCTGGGGATCCCATAGAAATCTCTATGGGAGCCTAGAACTGCAGAGAACACAGTCTGAAAAGCCACCACCCAAACATTTAGAGGGTGACAATATCTACAGTTTCATTTATTTTTATCTTTTCTTGTCAATTAACAATTCATGGTATGGGTACAATGCCTTATTTCTTTTCTTACTAAATGCATCCCTTTTTTTTTTCTTGTTTCTACTGGTAGGAAAGAATAAGATTAAGTTTTGGCCCCAAGGTTTATTAGCCTTCTTAATTTTTGTATGGCTGACAGAATCTCTGGAACCTATCCATCTTAGCTACAGCTCAGTCTTAGGCAGTATCCAACAGTTTTAGGGATTTAGACCCTCTAAGTGAGTGTAAGGGAGCAATCAACATTGCCTCTAACTCCTGGCTTCTGAAGAAACAGTAGGGGGGCGCCTGGGTGGCTCAGTCGCTTAAGCATCTGACTCTTAATTTCGCCTCGGGTCGTGATCTCAGGGTTGCGGGATCGAGTCCCGTTTCTGGCTCCTCGCTCAGCGCAGAGTCTGCTTCTCCCTTTCCCTCTGCTCCTCCCCCTGCTGTCTCTCTCTCAAATAAATAAAATCTTTAAAAAAAAAAAAAAAACCTGTATAAATGTGGGCAGCAGAGCCAGGGTCTGGCCTGCAGGGGGAAGATTATTGGTACAGAAGTGACAACAGCTCTTTCCTTCAACGGTCACCCATCCATTTGATAAAACCACCCATCCAGCAAATACTTCCTGGGTTTCCAGATGAGAGTCTCTTAAGAACTGGGGTTTTGGTTTCCTCATTCCCGCATCTCCCCCGACCCCCAGTCTAGCATCATAAGCACAAGGAAAGAACTTTGACCCAGGGGATCGATCAAAGAGCTTGTTCTTGAATTCATGGCTGTAGGCTGGCCGAGTGGGCAAAACTATTCCTACACTTCTGCTGCCATTGCTGGGATAAACAACACAACCTTCTTAGGGCTTCCTCGAAGCTCACCTATATCTCTCCATCTACAGCTTCGGCTCTATTCCATCCTGCTGGCCTGGTGAGCGAATGGAAAGCCAGCCCTGCAAGCCAAGACCCTGCCACAAAGAACGAAGTTTACGTTTGAAGCCACAAGACTAATTTGTTTATTAGGTGTGTTCTAATACGTTGAGGAGGGGGCATTTTTGGCAAATAAATAAATAAATAATCCGACAAAAGGCCGTGACTTTGGGGCCAAGGAGGAGCTCGGGAAGAGGAGGCGGAGTCTTTGCATAGTTCTAAACGAACGCAAGGTGGCAGCAGTGGGCAACGCGGGTTCGCAGCGGAAATGCAGCACTTGCAAAAACCAGAAACGGGAGGCTTTGAGAAAGAGGAGAAGGTCAGAAGGTGACTAACTATTTCTTTATCACAGAGACCGTGGTGTGGAACATTCGTCCTCTCTCCTGGGAGGCGGGAGGCGGCATGTCACATGATCTGCCTGGGCATCCCGTACCCCGTCATGCCCGCCTGGGAGGCCCCCTTGTTGCTGCCCATCTGCAGGCCGATGACGTTCTGTCCCTGGCGAAGCTGCTCCTCTGAAAATCCTCTCCGATTCTGCTGAGCTTTCCTGGGCAGAGGAAGTGAGGGGGAATAAAGTCATTCTGACAGTTTTCAAACCCTTCCCAAGACATGCAGTTAGAATGGCTCTCCGGGGGGGGGGGGGGGGGGCTACCAGATAGAACACAAGGTCATCAAATAGAATAGTAGGCCCTGTACTGAGCTACAGTACTGATAGGAACTATGATCCTACCCTGAGCTATGGCCCTACTCTGAGCTATGGCCTGACCCTGAGCCATAGCCCTACCGTGATGAGCCCTACCCTGAGCTATGATCCTATCATAAGCTATGGCCCTACCCTGATCTATAGTCCCACCCTGGGCTATGTTCCTACCCTGGGCTATGGTCCTATCATGAGCTACAGCCCTACTCCAAGTAGGCTGCTCCATGATACATGAGCTCTCTACTCCTTAGAACCCAGATGATTTTTCAGAATTTCCATGAAAGAATCAGTGGGTCCTCTCTGAGGACTTCACTCTCAGACAACTTTCTTATCACCCACTCTCTCAGAGTTACCTCAAGCCCTTGTGAAAATTACAAACAGCCCTTCTTACAAAGCAGGTCATTAATCCCAATCCACCTTTCCCTGTGTAGGGCCAAGTATTAATGTTCCTGTTTTAGAGCTACAGGACCTAGGAGTCAAGGAGGAAACATTTTCTTCCTTGCCAGAGGTCAGCAAGCTGCAGTAAAGAGCCAGATAGTAAGTAATTTTGCTTTTGTGGGTCATATAAACCATGGTATGTCACTAACAAAGCTGGGACTAAAACCAGAGTTTCAACTGGCCAATATCTAGGAAGTTTTCGGACCAGGTTCATTTAAACTGGTACCTTTTTATAACAGCTAGAAGAAGAAAGAGGGATTAGGGAAATGAAGGGTCAATTATCTGCTACAAAGTGCTCTTTTGTCTTCATTGCCCACAGAGCTCTTGGGTTGAGTTCATGATCCCTTCCTTCCCCCAACCCATGAAAACAGCAGCAACAACAACAACAAAATAAATCCTTTACTGACATGACCACATAAGACATTATCCAGACCAGGCCACTTTTGGAAGTGAAAGTGACCGTTATCAATAAATTCACTGGGACAACAGGCATGAACCAGGACATATTTTCTCTTCATTGAGTGCAAGAATAGATAAATGAGTTGACTTAGGGCTTCTTAGATCAGAATAAAACCAAGTTCAGACCTCAAGCCACCTTCCTGAGAAAAGCCAGCCAAGTCCCGCTCAGCCTCTAGAGAAGGAGCATGGCCAGAGCTGGAGGGTCCAGGTATCTAGCAGGGAACACTCAACCAGGTTCGCTGTGGGTGGGTGGGCTGCTGGCCTCATGGCAGCATAGCTCTTTCTTTGCTCTCAGCAATCAGCTGTGGGGCCAGGAGTGCCCCCCGCCAGCCCCCTACAGCACTTGCTCCTAAGGGCTTTGTGTGGAAATGGCCTCTGGGGTTTCAGATGCTCTGGTAAAATCCTCCTCTGCTGGGGGGGCGGGGAGGGGGACGGGGAGGCGGGAAGGGTTACTTACCTGTGAAACCAGGATGGCTCTCCCCTGTAACAGCCGTCATCCTTGGTCACCGCAACACTGCCGAGAGCCATCAGAGTCCTCTGCACGGCCGCCATGTCCTTCCCTGCAAGCCAACAGAGAAATGAAAGCCAAGCCTGTGTCAGGGCCGAGGAATCTGGAAGGATGGGGCTGGCCCTCTGGGAAGGAAGTTCTGATAAGAGGCTGTAGGCGATCCCATCCTAGGCGGAGGGATGGCAAATACTTCTCAAAGCCCTGAAGATAACTGTAGCAAAACTTCCTAGAAAGGAACCAAAAAATCACCTGCTTACTCTCTATATGACTTGCCCAGTTTCTCATCCTTTCATAGTTGCTGTATGAAGAAAACATTCTAAACACCTATCCGCTCAGATACAGGTAAATCCCTGCCCTGGGCAGAGGCCCTCGTGTCAGTGGGTTCTAGAGGCTGTGGCAAGGGGACATCCTGTGGCTAGGCTTGCGAGCTGGTCTGCAGATGAGGATTTTCCTCAGGAGTGGGGGGAGGGGTAGGAAGCTAGAAAGAAGTTGTTTTGGATGGATTAAGTGCACCAAACCCCAGCTGGCTCCTCTCTTTTACTTTCTCTGGGTTAAAAGGATCTAAAATCACCCATTGTGCATCCAACTGAGTACTCACTTGGCTCTCTGGGCTGGAGACATGCACATGAAGGAAAGCAAATCAACATAGAAAGCGCTCAATGCGACACAAATGAGAGGCCCTTTATTCTGTGCAGCTTGGAAGGAGCTAAATGGAGATAAAAAATAGCTGGTTTGTGGGGCGTGTGTCCGTGTGTGTGTGTGGGAGAGAGGTGTGTGTGTGGTGTGCCCCTTCCACAGTGGGAGGGGGAGCACTGTTACCTGAGGGGCCCAGTGACCGTGAACCCTCAGAGAAGGCCATTGGACCCTACCAGTCAGCCTGTTCCTCCCATCTCTTCTCCTCTCCTCCCTTGCGTCTGACTGCCAGGCCCTGGACTGGGAAAGGATGCCCCTGTGCCGTTTGCCCTGACTTAGAACCAGATCCATGCAGGGCACAAGTGGGAAGAGCAAAGCTCAAGGCTCAGGTTTAGGAAGGAGAGCGGCGTTCAGCGGGGTGGGGGGGGTGTAAAGCTATGAAAGCTAAAGGCCAATACTAAAAGGCCCTCTTTGGGGGCACCTGGGGGGCTCAGTCGGTGAAGCGCCTGATGCTTGGTTTCGGTCGTGATCTCAGGCTTTGCACTCAGCGGGGAGTCGGCTTGAGATTCTCTACCTCTGCTCCTCCCTCCATTCATGTGTGCTTTCACTCTCAAATAAATAAATCAATCTTAAAAAAAAAAAGGCCCTCTTTGCACAGAGTGAGCCATCTGTGGTCTTTCCGTCAGGGCTGTTGCAGCTCAGTCACTGGGGAATACAGAATTACAGGAGAAAGGCAGATGGAAAGCAAGGCCGCAGTAGAACGCTGATCAACTAAACCATTAAGGCCCACAGAGGAAGTCCAGTTCAGGATGCCCATCTATTCAATGTGGAGAGAGAGAGAGACAGCAGATCCTCCTTCCTTCACTTTTCTTCTCCACTCCATGAACCACAGGACGATTTCTGGGGTCCTGAGGCCAGGTGCGGTTGGCAGGCCGCTGCGGGAGGCAGGGACGTCAGAGGAGAGTCCCCGGGTGCAAGGAGCAGCTGGGGGGAGGGCAGGTCAGAGTGTGTGGGCAGCAGATGGGCGGAGGAGGGCCCAGGAATAGTGAGATGCAAGAGCAAGTCCAGAGGTGGTTGTGAGAATGACTTCTCTCCATAGATAAAAAGCTTTTCTGTAATTGTCACCGTGTAATGTGATCCTTTTTTCGGGGGCGGGGGGGGGGAATAGAGCTGTAGTTATGATATTCTGAAGGCCCACTCTGGAAAGAGAAAGGGAGAGGGTCTGCTCTTAAGTAGTGAGCCATTAAAGAGAGCCTAGAACAATGATGAAGCGCAGGGAGGTTTAGGAAGGTTTGGGTACACCACTCAGCTCTGCTCATACAAGGAGCACTCAGGAAGTCTGTTTCTGCTGGCTGGAAGGAGCGGGTCTGGTAAGCCCAGGGGCTGGAGGTGCCCAGCAAGTCAGCCACAGATACCACCCACAGCCATGGGCACAGCGGCGGGCTGTTAGAACACAGACCCAGCCTCCTTCAGAAGTGGCTAGCTGCTGCGCATACTGCATGGACCCAGGCAGGAAGGAGGGGACAACGTTGGGGGCAAGGGTCAGAGAGCCAGGAACCCACCTACCCTCATCCTGGAGAGTGGGAAAGGGAGCCACAACATAATCAGGGGCAGAAGAAGCTAGGGAAGGAGGCTGTTTTTGACCGGAACACATTGGAGAAGTTTTTCTTAAGAAAGGTCCCAAGGCAACAGATTTGATATAAATTAGAGGCTAGACACTTTATTATACATGACATCAACCCAGTGGAATTGATATTACTGCCTGCAGTGGAGGGATGGGAAAACTAATTCAGGGAGATTAATGAGCGTGCCCAGAGTCCCTCAGCAAGTAAACCAGAGCCTGGCTGTAGCTCAGGTGTCAAAATGCAAAGCCCACAAACAGTCCACTAGGGCCACCATCTCCCAGGGGTCCCCATCGCAGGCTGTTTGGGGTGCCCCGTTCCTTGGTGATCAGAGATGATCCGAAGGGGTGGCAGTAGCAGCTTCAGTGCCAGGCAGGAGGGAACGCACTGGGGGGACAAAGCTGGGTCATGGTCCTTGGTCCCCATTAGTTCAAGGGTACCAACCCCAAGGGCCATAAAGTCTTTGAGAGTTTTTGTCTGGAATAGTTTCTCCAGGCCTCCACCCAAATGAGGTTAAAGCAGGAGGAAGAGTTGGGGCCTAGAGTCCCCCATCAGCATGCCAATCAAGTTCAACATTGCCAAGATTCTGAGTAACACTATGAGCAGAAATCTGCCTCTCTAACTTGTCTAGCTTGCTTTCCTATCATGTCTAGTTAGCTTTCTAACAGACGTCCCTAACAGACTCCCAGATTGATGGAATGGCATGAGGGCCTTTTTCTAGCCTCCTGTTTCTTTATCAGTTCAGAATTCCAGATCACATGTTGCTGGAGGGAGGGGGCCATTTGCAGAGGCTGACTTCTGTAACGGGGGGTCACATACTCAATGTCTAGAGGAGCAGTGAGGTTAAGGAGCATCTGTGAATCTTGTCACCACCTGCCTAGAGCACGGCACTTCAGAACGAGGTTTCCCAAGCCTCTTGGACTATTTATGGGATGCTGTGGGGGAGATCTCTTCAAAAATATGAATTTTGGGATGGCTGGTGGCTCAGTCGGTTAATCGTCTGCCTTCAGCTCAGGTCATGATCCCAGGGTTCTGGGATCGAGTCCCGCATCGGGCTCCCCGCTCAGCGGGAATCCTGCTTCTCCCTTTGCCTGCTTCTCCCTCTGCTTGCTACTCCCCAGCTTGTGAGCTCAGTCTCTCTCTCTCTGGAAAATAAATTAAAAAATCTTAAAAATATATATATGAATTTTGACATCATTCCCCTGAGAGACGGAGTCAGCAGGCCTGGGGGGAGGCCTGGAAGTTCATATTTTTAATAAGTTCCCCAGGTAATTTACACCATTAGGCAAGTCTGAGAAACATGATGACCCTCAAACTAGACTGATCCTCAGAAATATCTGAGAATCTTAAAAATTCAGATCCTGGAGCAATCTCCTGGGATGATTCTGATATAGCCAGATGGATAGGCACCACTGCTCCAGCACTTTGGTTTTTCACTTTTTAAAAACATCGCAATGTCTGGCACATGGTAAGTTACTATGTAATATTCCTTAAGCAATAACTCCTCCCTTCAGAGCTATCTTCCCCAAAATCAAATGGTAAAGTCAATAATTAGAAGGGCTCTGATCCAAGTCAGGAGCCAGCTCAGAATCCTGGCAGCGTGGAATCTCTTTGCTCCCTGAAAGCTACCCCTAGATATTTTGGCAAGACAGCTTGAAAACCACTGCTGAAGGCTTTTCTTCCAAGAAAAAAAAAAAAGAAGAAGAACGGTCCTGAAAGAAGTACCAACTAGAGGGAAGTGCTGGGAATTTTCTAGATGCTGAGTCCTTGGTGGTGACCTAAAAATGAGACCACTGGCCATTAAAATGAGAAGCGACACAGGGAATAGGAGGTGCCAAATGTCCATAAATACCTCAGCATTTTGATCAGGTGACCCAGACTCTTATGGGAGGGGCTGATATTAGACTTGCAATTGTGGGAAACAAGACAGTGGTGTAGTACAGTAGCTTCCCTTGTCTCACCTGGCAAACCTTTTCTCAGAGTGTGCCCTCTTTGCTGCATTATCACTGAGCAGGGTTTTCCCAAGCACTCCAAACTATGAAATGATGACCTCTGGGGGGTGGGGCCAAGGGTTCTGTATTGTCAGGTCCCTGCCCCCACAACCGGGACTTTTTTTTTTTTTTTTTTTAAGTAGATAGGCTCCATGCCCAGCGTGGAGCCCCATGTAGGGCTTGAACTCAGGACGCTGAGATCAAGACCTGAGCTGAGATCAAGAGTCGGATGTTTAACTGAGCCACCCAGGCATCCCACCACCAGGAATCCTTAATACCCATGAAGTTTGAGTGCTATTACCATAAGGATACTTCAACAGGGATTTTGTTCTCTTGAATTTTTTTTGTTGTTGTTGCTTTCATGATATCTTGTGCATGTCTTTGGGAAGAAAAAATAATTGGAAGGGTAAAAGGGAAATAAAAAAGACCAGAGAAAGGTCATTTGGGCGGGTAAAGTCAGACTGGACACTCTACTTTTAATACTAAAAGGTTTTTACAGTTTATAGTCCAAACTCTTTGCTTCAGAGCTACTTCCATTTTTTTTTTTTTTAATCAGTCTTGACTCATCTTTGTTATTTCTGGAATACTGACCTTTTTCCTTTTTCTGGAACCATTTCTTTTTTCCCTGAGTGATAACTTAGGCATGACCCCAATTCTCTACTCAAGGTAGAGGAACTATTGCTAGTCAAAGGAGAAATGTCAGAGAATAGATTGGGCTTGCTCTGTGGGTTTTATGAATTTTTGTTGCTTGCCTTCCTGGAGACACTGTCAGGCAGTGGTTCTCAAAGTGGGGTTCCCAGACCAGCCAAAGCAGCGTCATGTATGAATTGGTAAGAAATGCACATTCCCGGGTCCTACCCCAGATTTAACACCTCAGAAGCTCTGGGGCTGTGTTTTCCTAAGCCTGCCGGGTGATTCTGCTGTACACTGGAGGCTGGGAACCGCTGCTGAGGGAAAAACCTGCCAACCACAATCACGAGCAGGCAGCGCTTGAGGTTGCTCTGACAGGAAAGGAGGCTGCACGCAGCAGGCATGTGTGGTGACTCAAGTCACTCCAGGTACCTCACAAGATCCCAAAATGTCTCTCAAGTTGGGCGAAATGTTTCTTTGCTCTTGCGGTTAAGGAGTGACACACACAGCGGCACCTCCCCGGAGAATATATTTGGACCTCTCTGGTACTCCACCCCCAGTGGGAACCACACTCCTGCCTAACTCCCAGTCATCACGGAAGGGGAACAGGGAGGCAGGGTGAAACCACGTGTCCAGGATCCCTGTCAGTAGGACTACTGAGAGAAGTCATCCGACTAGACCGATCTTTGAGTCTCGCCTGCTCTGGCATTCTAGAATTCTACCTGCCTAATAACGCTTGCTCACCATGTGGTGACGCCAAGGAACCAAAAGGTTAGTTGCTGGCAGGCTTGTGGTAGGGGAAAGAAGCCAACATTTATTACGAGTCTGCTAGCCAGGCATTGTGCTAGGCATTGTACACGTTTAGTCCTTACAAGAACCCTCTGAGGAAGGCACTAGACCTATTTATAGAGAAGGAAACCGAGGCTCTCAGAAGCCAAACATCTGAACAAGTTCACGAAGCTGGGATGTAGCTAAATAGTTTTAACCCATCTACCTGACTCCAGACTCATGCTCCTTCCACTGAACCAAGACCTCCTGGGTCTGGAATTGGCAAAGCGACATATTGCAGGGAAAGACGTCAAGAGGGTAATGACCACGAGCTAGAAAAAAGTCAAAAAGGGGGCGTGCAAAGGCGGTCCCTCTGTGCTGGAGAATGGCTGATTCAGTGAAGACACCACCCATGACAGAAGGCAAATGTCATCCAGGCAACCCTACCGGCTTCTGCATGAAACCATTCATGAAGTCCACCTGTTCCAAGACAGAATGTGTGCCTTTCCAGCCTGCTCCTCCCGCCTTCATTATCCGTGTGTCCTACAGCAGGACAGGCGAATGACAACAGTAGTTTTCACACTATACATTGCGCTCTACGATTGCCAGCCACTACGCTAAGCACTTCTGACCCATCCTCCCATTCCGTCCCCATGTCAAGCCCATAAAATAGACACTAATACCCCTTTTTCCAGTTGAGAAAACCGAAGCTTAGAAAAGTTAACTGATAGGTGGTGGAGTAGAGGTGTGAACTAGGCAGTCTAATTTCTGACCCAGAAATCTGCATTCTACTAGCTTCCAGTAGAAGTAGGTAAGTTTTCTTTGCGTCTTTCTGACCCGCACATTCCCTAGCTCTCACGTGTTCTCTCTCATTCTCTGTCTCTGTCTCTCTCTCACACACAAACACACACACCTCCTTTTCCTGCTCCTCGCTTTTCTCCTTCCCACTTTCTCTCCACAGGAAAGACGCTGATGTCGAACCTCCGGTATGTTCTCCTGAGTCACAGACAGCTGAGACAGCCCCACTCCTGCCCCTTCCGGGTACCCATGGCAAAGCCAGAACCTGCCAAGCATTGACCTTCCATCATCCAAGAGAAGGACTTCTCCAGTCCTCTAAGCGGCCCTCCGCCCTCGTTTCTTCCCCAGCCCTGAGAGGGATTGCTCGGCCCCAGCTTCCTCCCAGAGGACCTTTGTCTCTAATATCCCTGTGGTTGGGTTGTTTTCTGGGCCATTTAGCCCTGGGTTCCTTTTCAAAGCCCTGAACCGTTTATTCTGGTAGCTAGCTCCCAAGTCCATTGCAAACATTTCACTGTGCATCTAAAAGGGGCTTCAGGACAATGGGTCCATCCAGGGCCTCTGCCTCTCTAAAAAATGGAACCCTAAGTGAGAAGGCACTTGGCAAGCCGGGGCTCCTGCAGCTTTATTCATCCACAACATCAGAGCCACATGGAGTCACTGGGCACCCATGGGCAACAGACCACTACTGGGAAGATGCCAAGCAGGGAAGCTGGGGGGCAGGGGGCAGAGAGCTGTTGAGCATAAAATGCCTGCAGAGGAGGAAGAGAAGTCCCCAGACGAGGAGGACTGGACCGGTGGCAGCCACAGCCTCCACACCCACAGTGCGTGGAATCCGGAGTGAATGGCAATAAACTGAAAACCACAGCCGGCACAGTGGGGACAATGTGGCAGGAAGCTAAGCAAATGGCTAATTCAATAGCTGTATATGTAAACAGGTACACGCAGACACATGCCAACCCTGCCTGGTGGCGTCCCTTTGATTCCAGCTTGCTCCTCCCCAAACAGGAGCGACAGCAGGCTCTGGCAGAAAGGACCCAGCCTCCTCCCTCGGTCCTTGCTGCTGTACTGCGGGTCTCACCCTGGCCTTGCTCCAGGCCCGCTTGGCCCCTCCCTTCTCTGCCCAAAGCCACCCGCCATCCCACCGCTCGCCCTGCTGTACGGTAACCAGCTCCGGCCTGAGCCTCAGTCGGTGATCCCGAGCATCCCCTCTAACGCTTCGAAAGACTCTTCCTGAACCTCAGTGCTCAGTCTCCCATGGAGGGGGCCACCGGAGGCCATTTGGACACCCCTAAGCATCCACTTTGCTATTGTCAACCATGGCTACCTAAACCAGGTCCATCACAACACCCTTGGAGCGAGTCCCCTTCTTTTCCTTTCAAGCTTCATACTTCCGTCCCCCCCACCCCACCCCAGGGATGAGACTCCTCGGTGTCTGTCTCATTTCCTGTTTTCTAGGAGCATTAACCCGGCCTGGAGCCCGCCTGTCCACTCCCCTACCTCGGGCTACCACAGTCAGTCTCACTCCTGCTTTTTGACCCCCCTTTCCCTTAAGAAGTATGAACATACAGGGCTGGGGCAGGTGGTGTAGACGTCCCCCTGCTCTGTCAATCAGGGACCACTGCTCCCTCCACCCCTCCTCTTCACTGCCAGCCCCTCCGGGATATAAAGTTTACCTGCGTGGTCTTTGATAAACGTGGAAAGGCAAATAGAATAGCCTCAGTCACGTAAAGACAGGGAAGCACACTCGGGGTCCCCATCTCTCACTTTCTTCCTCTTCCTACTTTCTGTACTTGGGGAGGGGCTCACCCTTCTATTCACAAGAAACCCCCAGTGCAGGAGCTCCATCCTTCTGCCCCACACAGCCCTGACTCCTCCTCCTTATCTTCATCCTCCTCAGTCACAGTTAGGACTCAACAGCCCGCTCCTGGTGTAGGTAAAGGAGACAGGCCTCCTGGTCAGAGCGTGGCATGGCACGTTAGTTGAGGCCCTATTCTCCAGCATCAGAGAGTTCAGGTTTGAGCCCCGGCTCTGCTGCTAGTTACCGGCCATACGATGTAACAAGTAATTATGGGCAAGCCTCAGCATCGTCTTCTATGAAATGGGAAAATTAATAACACCTCATAGAATTGTAGGAGAATTGACTGGCATTACACAGTAAAGTCCTTGCACCATGCTTCCTAAATGGAAAACTATCCATAAGCAGTGGCTATCTTTATTAGCTGGGAAAATCATCCCAGTTTTGATCTAAAGAGCAGAAACCAAGCCTCAGCTGTGACATCCATGAGGATGTGGAGGTAAGTATCCATGAAGTCCCGTGGCCTGACCCGAAGGACTGGATATCTGAATTTCTCAGTAATGGCAAAACACAGGTAACCTGACCGGGGTCTTAGGATTTTAATAACTCGCATGAGAAGGAAACAGGAAATGCCACTTCCCTGGGTGTCCTATTGGTTGGACCACTGATAACAGCCAGGGCCAGCGACCATGAGGCTGCAGAGCCGGCCTGGAGGCCCGCTTGAGCTGTTCTGTATCTCCAGAGCCTGGCCGGCTTCACGTGGAACAGTTGCACGGAGGGCCACACACACATTTGGGCTCGAGGGGCACACTAGGCCCTATGCCCATGGGTCCCAAATTCTTGGGCAGTGTCTCCAGTCACATCATTTGCCCTAATAACGCTGGATTGTTAAATACGTCCAGAAATGGGATTTGATTTTTATGCCTCATAACACGTCTTAAGTCACAAATGTGAAAGAAAAGATCACGTGTCCCACTTTCTGAGCGGAATACATATCTGGAAGGTAGAGTCCCCAAGCCCTCCAAAAATAGACCTTTTGGTCGGGGTGCTCATGATTTCTCAGATTGAATGACACAACGGCGCCCGGCGGCTTTGTCCGTAAGCCCTGCCGCTGGTGAGTCAGAAGCAGGCTTACCACCCCCCTTCTCCTCCAGTAGCTACCATTTGTTCGGCAAGAGTTACGTGGTGGGAGGGGGGTAGCAGGAATAAAAGACATCCATGTAACCATTCTAGCTTCCTCTCCGCGGAGGCCTCTGTTTTCCACGCTAGTTTGCTGAGGTCCCTGCCATGTCCTCAGGGTGTGCGTTCCCTCAGAGGAGGAGACCCTTTTCAATAGAATATCACAAAGGGGTAGGCTAACAGTACCTCTGGGTCACGGTGGATAATGCCCCCCCCCCCCCCCCCCCCCCCCCCCGCCCCCAGGGGCACACACAGGCCCGGGGAAGAACATGGCGAGCAGGTTTCACAAAGAGATGGGCAAAGTGGAGAGGGTGGAGGATGCAGTCCCAAAGGCCCGAGGGCTGTTTACCTTCCCATAGATCCACCGTCTGAAAAATGTCAGTGGTCCTGACGCCGTAGATCTCTGCAGCTTTTAGGAACTGAGAGATTTGCTCCATCTGCTTAAAAGCCATCTTTGACTCAGAGATCTTGGGAATGGGCTCCTGTCCTGGTGGGTATAAACTGTTTATCAGCTTGCACAGGACCTGCAGGGAGAAAGGGGAGATAAAAATCAATGTTTCCCTTTGTATTTACCCATCACGGATGCAAAGTGAATCCAGGCCCTACAGGGCGCAGCTTACAGGTTTGGGCAGAGGCAAGTCTTGCGCCCTAGGAAGGCGCTGGCTCCGGGCTGGGTAGCCAGGTTCCCACGCCAAATCCCAAAGACCCAGGTGGCCTCACTCCCAGGGCTGCTCCCCACTGCAGTGGGGCCTGCAGCCTAGGAATCCCCTTCCCTCCTTGCTCTGTGCTTCCTTTCTCTGGGGTCAGGGTGCGGGAAGAATGTTTACAAATAGGGAACAATGTGTGGTGATGAGGCCGTGATTGCAGACTTTCAAGTGAGGGAAGGGAGGTCCAATAATAGGATCTAATATTATATCTTCTATCAAAAGGCAGATCAGAATCAGCCTTCAATAATTCATCCCATATGTGCCAACAATGTATGAAAGAACTGAACCAGGTACCGTCCTCCTAGATGCCCGTAACCCAAGTCCTGGGCAACCCAACAGAAGTGGGGAGTAGCTGTTACGTAACAGTAAATCACAGCCTGGGGAAAACATGGGCTGGTGCGAATCAGCAGTCCCCAACCCCCAAACGCACCGCACCAGAGCCTCTACTCAGAAAAGCAGCTCTCAAATAAGGATTCGCTTCAGTTCCTTGAGAACCCGTGCCTTCAACAGACATTCAGCACCCCCAGGCAGCAGGGCTCCGGGAAGGAAGGGAAGGATGGCCAAGTGCTTAGTTGTCCTGACTCCTTCCTTTGTTGTACTTTGTAACTAACCCATTCCCGGGGGGAAGGAATAACCCTGGAAGAGCTGAGGGGCCAACAGGTTGGAGAAATGGAAGGGAAATCCTTATCTCTATTCCCACGGGGAAAAAAAGCAAAAAACCTTCTAATTTGGCAACAACTTAAGAGGGAGCTGCCATGTCTCGGGTGGGTGGAGAATCCTTTAAGCCAGCTAGGGAATTGTGCGGGGAGTCCAGATCTTCAACCTGGAGAAATAAAGGCATGCCTATGCCCACCCCGCCAGGCACAGAGCTTGGCAGCCGCAGCTCCTCCCGCAGCCTGGCGTTGGAAGAGAAAGCCCTGGAGGGCTTCCCAGCCCGCCGCCCCAGCAACCAAGACCGCCCTGGCCTTACCGTCCCGTCCATTAACCATTTCTGAAAATGGGCCCGGCCGGGGGGCGGGTGCTCTATGTCCTCGGCGCACTGCAGGATGATCCAGTCCACCAGCTTGTTCTCCAGGTCCGCGTCATACTTCTGCTCGATCTTTTCCTGCACCTCTCGGCTTAAGCCGTAGCTCGGGCCCCTGTTAGCCATCTCTGGAAGAGAAGAGAGGACACGCGCCGCATCCACACAATGGCAGCAGCGGCCCCGGGCTCCCTGCGAGCGGGGCTGGGACGTGCGAGGCTGGGCGGCCTGGCCCCGCAGCAGCAGCAAAGCGGGCAGAAAGCCGGGCGTGGTTTAAATCAAGGAGCCAATGAAGCCACTGGGGTTTCACCTACCAACGCGGAAGAAAAGCGCAGCCACGCGCCAGTGACTCTAGAATAAAGCCCCTGCTGGTCCAGGGGGGCCGGAACGCCCCTCTCGGTCCCGCCTATCGATGGGATGAGATGAGATGATGCGCACGGACTCACAGTCGAGGCCGAACGCCCCCCCCCACCTCCGGCAGCCGGGGGGCTGGGTGGTGGTCGTGGCTCCCCCTCTCTAGAAGCTCTTTGCAGAGGCGGGGACCCTGGGCTGGGAGAGGGCAGGTCCTTAACAGGCAGGAAAGCAGGCCGCCTTGACGTTCAGTTGCTGATTCTGCATGGCGCCTGGAAGAGTGGTACACTGACTGATTGGATTTTCTCCCGGCTGACGAGGGTCAAACGGGGGCCGTTGCTAAGAGCCCTCCAAAAAGCCGGCCCTCCCGCGTGTCACTCAAGCCCGCCGCCTCCCTCCCGCTGAGAGCTTCTTTCTGGCTGCACAATTCTTTCCCCTCCTCTGGGGGAGACGGCTGATTGTCTATCAGGCCAGCACGCAGCTGCACGGGCCTGGGGCCTGGGGCCTGAGGCCTGGGGGAGGGTCCCTTCTGTCAGCTGTCCATCTGTCGGGATTGCCAAGCCACTTTCCTTCTGCCCTGAGGTAACAGTTGTCTGGCTGGACGGGAGGGAGGGCTGAGAGCTGCAACCATTCACTTGTTCAGCTGCCCCCCAGATTCCATCCAGAAACTTCCATCCTGGTGGGAAACTGCTGTGCCTCAGTTTGACTTACCCAAAGAATGCACCTTTTTTTTTTAATGCTATTTTTAATCGAAAGATACTAGGAGCATGTTTTATCAGTTAAACAGAGCTCAGTGTCAATGCCTCCGAAACTCATGGAGCGAAAGGTTTTGATAGCTTGTGAACGTTTCATCTGTTTATTTTAGTTAAGGACCTGGCAGGCCCCACTGACATGCTACCAGTGGGAACTGAGTATTTGGTCAAACAAGACCTCAGGACAAATCAATTTAGATGTGGGTTGGCCTGAAATTTTTAAAACTGCCAAAGAGCTGGGCAATCAGCCTTCCTAGCCTGCAAGCCACTTGGGGGTAAGGTCTCATTGGTGTTGTGCAAGTCTCTGGGTACTTTTCATGAGAAAAACACCCCAAAATGTGTTCTTTTGGTTCATTCAGCAAGTATTTTTTGAGTGCGTCATTGTGGCACTACTGAGCTGGAGAGGAATCAAAGACAATTCTTTCCCCTGAGAATTGCTCAATTGACTCCGGCATATTAGATAAAACAATTCTGGTATGTGCAAAGGTAATCTTTGTCTCTATGCAAAACTGGTTGGAAGCTAGGCAGGGAATGACTCCTTAAATAATACGTGTATTGAGAGAAATCTGCTGGCTGAGGCCTGGACTAGTGGAAATGTAATCGCTTAGTAGACATGTGGGTGGTTTGCCTGAGAAAAGAGTGGTCAGTAGCTGAAGGCATAGAGAGAGAACTCTGAGACACAGAGGGTTGTAAGAGAGCCCGCTTTTAGTAGAGCGCTGGGTTTAGCAAAAGGCACAGAAAGGACGGACTAATGCAGATCTTGATGCTGTATGGGATCATCAGTTGAAGAAGCTCTAAAAGATCATCAGTTGAAGAAGCTCTAAAAGCTCCAGAACTGGGCTTGGGGAAGAGTTTAGAGAGGGAAATTGTCAGCAGAATTTTGAAAGTCACTGAGTTGCATCTTGGGTGGCAACAGTAAGGTCAATTCCAACTTGCAACTAAGGAAACAAGAGGGCCAAACAGAAGGCATGTTACTTTCTCTGTGGCTGGAATTGCTCTAAGGAAGAGGCTGGTTTGTTATATAAAGCTAGAAACAATTCTAAAAGATGTACATGTACATTTTTTTTAAGATTTTATTTATTCATCTGAGAGAGAGAGAATGAGAGAGAGAGAGAGCACGAGAGGGAAGAGGGTCAGAGGGAGAAGCAGGCTCCCCGCTGAGCAGGAAGCCCGATGTGGGACTCGACCCCGGGACTCCAGGATCATGACCTGAGCCGAAGGCAGTCGCTTAACCAACTGAGCCACCCAGGCGCCCTGTACATGTGCATTTACCTTCTTTCCTTTTCTTTCTTTTTTTCCCGTTCTTTCTTTTCTCTTTCTGTCTTTCTTTTCTCTTTTTCTTTCTCCTTTCTTCTCTTTCTTTCTTTTCTTTTTCTTTCTCTTTTTTTTTCTGTGCTTTGCAGATCATTTGTACCCAAAGATTTCTTTCCATTGTGACAAAATAGTTGGGGTGCTTCAAGTGAATGATTGAGCTCATGGTTCTGGAGAGGATACAGTGGCAGAGAGTGGGGGCCACAGCCCAGGAATAGGTTAGAAGTGTCCAGCAATCTACAGGAAGTCTTTAGAGAAAAAAATGTTTGGGGCGCCTGGGTGGCTCAGTCGGTTAAGCGTCTGCCTTCGGCTCAGGTCATGATCTCAGGGTCCTGGGATGGAGCCCCGCATTGGGCTCCCTGCTCCGCGGGAGGCCTGCTGCTCCCTCTACCACTCCCCCTGCTTGTGTTCCTGCTCTGGCTGTGTCTCTCTCTGTCAAATAAATAAATAAAATCTTAAAAAAAAAATATCTGATCCCTGGGGGAAATGGGCTCAACTCTACATTTACTGAGTGTCTACTAGTATTAGAATTAATTTTCCCGATAACTTTTTTAAAGGGCCTATGTATCTGAGTACAAAAATGCACAAGACATGGCAACATGGTCTAGAAGCAACGTTAAACTTGTAAACAATAAATACTAGCCAGGTGTCATGCTAAAAATATGCATAAGGTACTCAGGTACAATGATACCTAGAAGAAGGGGGTAGGGATTGGGGAACAGGTTTATAAATGAGATGACTTTAAGCCTCAAAAGATGAGTGGGTGTTTGTCAGGTGAACGGGGTGAAGCAGGAGGGGTTGAGAACGTCAGGAACGTGGCTGGCTGGCAAAGACAGCTTCATTAGGCGGGTGAAAATGTTCTAGTATCAACAAAGCATAGGATTAAAGAGAAGAGACATACAGGAAGAAAAATAAGACGTGGCTGTCATGAAGGCTCTAGACCATAAAGCAGTCTGCTTGCAAGTGCCCATGGTTAAATTTTCAGGAATTGTGAGAGCCAGTTGTCACTCAGCCATTATAAGCAATTAGATTATATAAACTTATAATTAAATTACAAATGTTAAATACTCAGAATGGATCACTTCCTAATTTATTTTGCTTCATTTTACTATTACAGGTACTTTTGAGGATATTATTATGTTTATTGTCTCTACATGGTGTATTTACTATTTAATGGTGTGCTACTGGCCATTTCTCCCCACCTTTGTTGTATTCAGTGACAGCGATAGCTTCAAACCACTCATTAATGAAATATTTATGCCATGGATGTTGGCAAATTTATAAATCAGGGTGTTTTTATTTTGTTTTGTTTTTCTGGAATGCTAGCTGTTAAATATTTACTGGCTTTGCCGGCCACTGGACTTATGCAAGACAATTTGAGTTTTTTATTAGGGAAAGAGAATCATCCGATTGATGTGGGTGAAGAAAAAGATGATCAGAATGACCCCAAATTTGACTTGTATAACGGGTTAATGTGGTGTCATTTATTGTAAGGGGACTCATAATCGGGAGGTCCATATGGGGGAGAGGTAACAAGGTTTGTACTTACTGCATCTGGGAGGCCCACGATCCATCCCAGTTCATTGGATAGTTGGTTTTATGGGTCTGGAGCTCAAGAGAAAAGTCTGAAATGGAGGAATGGACTTGAATCATCTGCATGCAAGTAGCGGTTAAAACTAGGAGTGTGGCGGGGCGCCTGGGTGGCTTAGTCGGTTAAGTGTCCGACTCCTGGTTTCGGCTCAGGTCATGATCTCAGTCAGGGTTGTGAGATCGGGCTCTGCACTCAGCGGGGAGTCTGCTTGAGATTCTCTCTTGCCCTCTGCCCCTCAAAAAACTAGGAGCATGGGTGTGGTTGCTTAAGGTAAGTAGCAGAAGACGGCCAAGGTCAGAATTCACCAGAAAGTTAACATTAATGCAGTGGGTAAGGAGGAGAAGCCAGCAAAGGAGCTGCCACACCCTGGTCAGAGATGCTGGGGGTAAACAATTTCAAAGCAAAGCTCCTGACCTCAGGGAGGTTGGTATATACACGAGAATCTCAAAGCGCTTAAGTTCTAGCAAAAAGGTGAAAACAGAATGCTGTTCTTGAGAGCACAGAGGTGCAAGTGAGAAATGTGTTAGAAACAGAGAGGTGGAAATGAGTTGGGAAACGGACATTTGAGATTTTTATTACTATTTTTAATTTTTTTAGTAGATGAGAGTTTTTCTGTCATCAAAACCCTGAAAGCCCAAGAAAAGGGAGAGCCCAAATGTTTGGAAGGCTAATTTCCTCAAAAGACACATTTGGTTAAAAAAGAGAAGTTGCCTGCCTTTTTCTAGGCATATTCTGTAAATGCACAAAAACATTTTTTAAATCAAACCAACTATGCATACCACATGATTACATTTCTAAATTAAACATGACTAGATGTATATATAAAGGGGATCTTTAAAAGGTGTATTTAAATTCCACCCATCTTCTTCTTTCCTTCAGGAAATAAGAGTTTCTTAGTTGTTTGGGTTTTATTTTTTAACGGTTTCAAATTTAATGAAAATTTGGCGTATTCCCTTTGGGCACTGACCCGTTGTGTGGCTGGTCATGTTCTCCCTGCCAGCTCCATGCTTTGTAAAGCTCAGCCCTGCCCAAGGCTCTTCCCCTCCTCTCCTCCACACAGAACTTTCTACTGGCTGCTCAGTGAACAGCATACTGTTTAGATTTGTGTCTGGAGATGCCTCTAAGCTTAACAGATGCAGCAAAAGCAAATTTATTCTGTGGCCTCACTTAGCTTTCCTTACCATTGGCCTTTGCCTTTTCTCTCTCCATTGCATGTGCTAAGATTGTTTAGAAGGGTCATGTTGCTTTCAAATAATGTAGGAGTTCCAGAGGATAAGGCACTCAGGGGCTGCTGGTTGTTCAAGCATTTTCCATGTCACTGGATACATGGCATGGAGTGGTTTTAGAAAAGAAAAAAAAAAAAAAAGGAGGGCTTTGGGGAAAAACAGGGAAAAGCCCCACTAAAGTAATTAACAATGCACTGTAATACATGATCTGATACAAAATCATTTGGAATTTGTGATGTTACCCTCTGCAAAGCTGTACTAAATTCTAAAACAGCTTTTCCAGGGGCACCTGGGTGGCTCTGATGGTTGGGCATCCGCCTTCAGCTCAGGTCATGATCTCCAGGTCCTGGGATCAAGTCCCATGTCAGGCTCCCAGCTCAGTGGGGTGTCTGCTTCTCCCTCTCTCCCTGCTTGTGCTCTCTCAAATGAATAAATAAAATATTAAAAAAAACCAACAACAACAAACGGCTTTTCCTATCTTCAGACAGTGAAGGTTTCTCCTCCTCCCCTTTTCTAACCTCTGAGTATTTGAAATGACACCACACAACTAACCTTCCAATTTAGCATCTTGAGAGGAAGGTGCTTTACATAAAAGCCCTGCTCACTTCCTTGCCTCTTTTCTTCCTAACCCCCACACATTATGCCCACCAGTTTCTCACCGGACTGTGCTCAGTGCATTGTAAGGGAAAAGATAGTGACTCCTATGTGTATGTGTCATTGTTCTAAATGTACTGTACTTACCAAATCCTTATGCTTTATTACCTAGCTTTATGTCATCTTACAGCTGACAAAACTTCAAAGAGGTTAAGTAAAGTGTTCAATTACAGGGCTTGTAAATGGTGAGCAGGGATTTTAAACCCACACTGCATAGTCTGTCCCTAACCTCTCTGCACATTGCCTCTACAGGTATGCTATGAATCTCTAATCATGCTCATTTTATTACGACGTTTAGCTCCAGAAAAGTCCCACGGGCAGGGCCACTTCCTCTTCATCTTTTGAATCCTCTGCCTAGTGGTGTCTGGGCAAAGCAGGCCCTGGAATAGCCACCCTGCCATTGGCTATCAACTCACGCTAGCACTAGGCACCGTGGCACGTGCGTGACTTGTGTGTATTTGGTCAATGACTTCTGTTCAGTATAACTCATAGACTGTAGTCCTATAAGGTATTAACCTTTTTAGTATCTGTGTCAGGGGTCCTGAAGACCACCTGTAGGTTCGATGACTTGTTAGGACACACAGGACTCAGCACCTAGTTTTATTCACAGCTAGTACTTATTAGTGAAAGGGTACACAGCAAAATCTGCAAAGGAAAAAGACACATGAGGTGACGTCTGGGGAAATGAGGCATAAGTTTCAAGAATTCTCTCCCAGTGGTCATGCCACATGAGCTGAAATTCCCCCAGTAGTAAGTTGTGACAATACGCGTGAAATGTTGTCCACCAGGCAAGCTTGTGCGATTCAGTGCCCAGGTACTGGGAGCTGGTCACTGAGGCAGCCTCTGCCTGGCACCTATCACAGTTCCAGACTCCCAGAGGGAAAGGTGTTCAGCACAAACCATACTGTTCATACATTAGAGACAGTTTAGGCATAGTGAGCCCCTTTCACCCATTCTGGGACTGGTGGAAACCTCCTAAAAGCCAAGTTCCCAGACGCCAGCCAAGGGCTCACCTTGTAAGCTGGTCTCTCTGAGGCTAAGCCTCAGAAAGCTATGTTAGCTTTTTTTGGCACAGGAATTTTATCGCAATGATTTTCTCTCTGTATGTTATCAATTTGTTTTACATTGACAGACATAACTTAAGCAGGCTAAATAAAGTCCAACCAAACTTAAAAGCTGAAAGACACCAACTCAGTAATATCAAGCCCATTTTAGTTCTTAAAAAACACCTATGTAATAATTGCATTTCATATTTTCTTACTATCTCTGCACTTCAGAAAGCCCTCTGACATAGATGACAGTCACCTGGCTATTTGTACTTAAGGCACATATTAATAGAAAAGGAATGTTTCTGCAGGCAGGCAATAATATATAAAAATTAACTGCCTCTTTAGAATATACTACATCATTAAGATCAAGTCCCCCCATTTAAATGACATATAAGCCAACATTAGAAATGATGTATTTCCTTTATATTACTGTAAAGTCTTGAGCCTTTAAAAAAGGATAACCTTAAGTTCAACTATAACATGCAGAATAACTATATAAAGTGACAGCCTTACTTTTTGAACTTTATTATGCTTCAGACTTTTTTCTGATCATTTCAGATTTTTTCACTGTCCTATATTTTGTGAATTGCATTTTAAAATCAGAAGCAATTTTACAAATCTCTGTGTATGACCGACACCAAACAAAAGACAAAAAATTCCAGCTTTATTAACAATTCTAAGTAGAAGAGAACACAATTAAGAGCTGTCCCAGTTAACATGAGCATTTAGCAGGTAAACATCTCTTCAATAAAAAAGAAATATTTTAATTAAAAAAAATGTATAATATGGATAGACCTAGAGGGTATTAGATTAAGTGAAATTAAGTCTGACAGAGAAAGACAAATATGATGTGATTTCACTTATGTGTGGAACCTAAAAAGCAAAACAAAGCAGAAACAGACCCATATATACAGAGAACAAACTGGTGGCTGTCGGGGGGGTGGGGGGATGAACCAAAATAAGTGAAGGGGAGTGGGAGGTCCAGGCTTCCAGCTACAGACTGAGTAAGTCGCAGGGATGAAACCTACCGCACAGGGAACAGAGTCAATGGTACTGTAATAGCGCTGCACCGTACAGACAGCAGGTACGTCTGTGGTGAGCAGAGCGGAACATATAGAGCTGTTCAATCACTATGTTGTACATCTGAAACTATTATATAACACTGGTGTGCAACTATACTTCTATTAAAAAAAGCCAAGGATTGAAGGAAGGAGAAAATTTTCCAAACAGCAGCTTGTACTTTCTTCACAATTTGTATCATTTGTATTATACATCATTAAATAAATACTCGTGTGATATTTACAAAGTAGAGACAAGAGGAAAAAACCTAAGTATCAGATCTTTCATTTGTTATCCCTCTGCCAATCTTCTGGATCCATGAGTTTACATACCAACTAATAATGTGATTCTAGTTAACTACAGTTGAAAGCTTATCAATTAAGTCATCAATAGTGTAAACAAGGAGTTGAATGTCTGCTTTCTCCTTCATCCGATGATCACTATGTTTCCGGAGGATGACATCTACATCTGTGCTGACCACTCGGTCAGCAACCTGTATGGATGTATGCCAAGGCACGATGTCATCTTTCATGCCATGGAGCAATCGTATGGGGCAGTTCACTGGGATAGGGCTATGGAACAAGCAGTGGTGTTCGGCTTCCTTAATGAAACTATACTGAATGTGATAAATTCCGTCTTCACTGTACCTTGATGGCATGGCCCACACGCCTTTCATCTCTACTTCCTTTTTGACCTATTGGGGAAAATGAGGAAAATAAATGTATGCAACACTAACACACACAATAGTCTTAAACAGTCTAAGAAAAGCAGTCCTAGAAGAGGAGGAAAAAAAGAGATAAAAATGTAATAATGCTAATTATCAATAATTAAACACTATGCAAGGTACCATGACAGGCACTTTACACATAGTATCTCATAAGATCCGGATAAAAATTGTTATTGCATTTTTACAAAAGAGGGTATTAGAGCCCAGAGAAGTTAAATTTCACGTTTAAAACTGAAAGGTAACAACTCTCATAGCTAGGATTCAAACTTAGATTTAGCTTCATCAGGTAACATCTTAAAGCAGGTGCCGCTTCACCCCAAATGAAAGGGAAAACAAAGGGGAGAAAATCATTCATAATATATAAAACCAAATCGTAGGAATAACAATTGTTTAGATTTCAAAAGCACAAAATAACACAGTAGTTACTCTGGCACAATCAAACATAGAATTTCAGGCTAGGGGTGCCTGGGTGGCTCAGTCAGTTAAGGTCGTGATCCTGGGGTCCTGGGATTAAGCCCCGTGTCAGACTTCCAGCTCAGTGGGGAGTCTGCTTCTCTCTCTCCCTCTGCCTCTCCCCCTGCTTGTGCTCTCTCCCTTGCTCTCTCTCAAATGAATAAATAAAATCTTAAAAAAAAAAAAAAAGAATTTCAGGCTAAATGTTACCAAAAAAAAAGCACTGTTTTTGCCTTCCAGAGTCCTAGGGAATGAGAAAAAAATGTGTTTCTTTGGAAGACAATGAAGTCTTCCAAATACTTCCTGAAAACTGAACAAGGAAATCACTTCCACACTTATTCCCTTAAGATGAAACACTGGGTATCTTTTGATTCTTGAAGAATTTTTACTTTTTAGATTATAATTTGTCTTAAATAATTTTTTTAAAGATTTTATTTATTTATTTGAGAGAGAGAGAGAGCACAAGCAGGGGGAAGGGCAGAGGGAGGGAGAGAAGCAGGCTCCCCACTGTGCAGGATCCCGGATCACAGGACCCTGGGATCATGACCTGAGCCGAAGGCAGACACTTAACCGACTGAGCCACCCAGGCACCTCTTAAAAATTTTTTCTAATTATAGTAACGTATAGTCATCATAGAAAACATGGGAAATATAGAAATTATAAAAAGAAGTAATCACATATAATCCCACCTCTTGGATACAACAACCATTAGTATTCTGGCTCATTTCCTTCCAGTATTTTTCTCCATGTATTTGGTTTTATGTACGTAATACATAAAACGGATATCTATTACACATTCATATAGAGTTTTCTACATTGCTTTACTTCTACATAATATCTGGGTTTTAAAAAATTCTATGAAGTTTTCAAAGGTTGCACAGTAGTCCATTATACTGGATCTATGCTAATTAACTATTTCCACACTGCTGGGTACTTCCATGAACATCTTGAGCATAAAGATTTATCTGTATATAATAAATTATTTGGAAGTATTATCAGAACTTTAACTAATATATCAAGATGTAAATATTTTTAAGGCTCTGCAACCATATCATATTAAGGGCATTTCTGACTAGAAAAACAGGTGGACATCTTATCAAAAATAAAGAAAAATATAAGGAAAGAAAAACCAAATATAATATATTGAAAATTTTGTATTTAAACTTTCAGTGAAGAGGGGCGCCTGGGTGGCTCAGTTGGTTAAGCGACTGCCTTCGGCTCAGGTCATGATCCTGGAGTCCTGGGATCGAGTCCCCCATCGGGAGTCTGCTTCTCCCTCTGGCCCTCCCAACCCCTATGCTCTCCCTCTCTCAAATAAATAAAATCTTAAAAATAATAAATATATATTCAGTGAAGATATTACGATTTTTCCATGTTTAAAATGTTAATTTACTGCAAATATGAAAGGAGAGCAAGAATTTAAACAATAAAATATGTATGATATAATCTGTATGTATTTAGGCATTTTAATGCATTTTTTAGAATTGCAAAACAATTTACTGATTCAGTGAAAAAGCTGTGTATCTGAAAGCTATACTCCTAAACATGTCTTCAAGTGATTTGAAATTAATGAAATTCTAAAAAACTGTAAGATATATGAATCTATATTAATACCAAGGCATTTTCTTCATTAAAACATGGGAACTGAATATTTAGGGCAAAAATGATATTCAGTGATCCTCAAAAGTACTTAGGATAATTACTAAATTTCTAATTTCAGTAATTAGAACTGTTTCATTGGTTATTCGATGAAGTGGAACCGGTGGTAATTACTGAGACGTAATTAAGAACAGCTGCATTTTAAGTATCCCCGTCCCCCACCCAGCTGTTATCTGCCATCGAATTGAATGAATACTGTCCATCTGAAGAACAAACTTCCCTTTCACAGAATGTTATATGTAACTGAACCCTCAAAAACAAAAAGTTCAGAAATAGCAAAAAACACCATTAACCGAAGAAAATGTACACTACACACTAAGTTATACAGCTAGAAGAAACCACAGCAAGGCGATGTGGTTGAGAAGCTTGTGTTCCAAACAGCTGTGCATCCTGTCTGATGGCTTCTAGTGTTCAAAGAAGGAGACATCATTAGAGTCAGTTCCGACACAATAAGCAATGCTGAGTGTTAACAATGCCCGGGCTAAAGATGAGAGTAAAAATCACCACTTTCGCTGCCTTGCCATTGTTAGAGCTAGTTGCTTCTGTGAAGAGACAGTGGTCTTAGTGTCCCTGCTCTTCCCATATGCTTTTAAATTAACATGCTTCTACTAACAACCATTTGCTGGTCTGATATAGGATTCGCAAAGACATGCCCTGACTTGCAGGCTATAGATCTTCTCAGTCACTTAGGGGATACCTGCCATATCCTCCCTGAGTGATGGGGATAGACACACATAAAAAGAAGTGTACAAAGATCCTGTCATTTACCATAACAACAACGAAAAAATTATTTAATCACCTCCTTCCCAATCTGCTATGTTCTTGAAATAATTTCCTACCAGGAGAAACACTATTTAATTGAGTTAGAGGATGGGGTAAAGGGTTCAAAGTTTATATGCAGAAAGATGCAATGGTAGGAGAATTTAGCAGCATGAGAACATTGAGCAACTATGTATGAAAAACAACTAAGAAAACAAACAAAAAATCAGAAATAGGAGGTAAGTACAAAGACCAGCTTTGTAATTTTAGCCCTCAGAGGAAATGACATAAAATCTGCATATGCAGACAATGCCATTTCTTTTCTTTCTTTCTTTCTTTTTTTTTTTTTTAAAGATTTTATTTGACAGAGACACAGCAAGAGAGGGAACACAAGCAGGGGGAGTGGGAGAGGGAGAAGCAGGCTTCCCACAGAGCAGGGAGCCCAATGCGGGGCTCGATCCCAGGACCCTGGGATCACAACCTGAGCCGAAGGCAGACACTTAATGACTGAGCCACCCAGGTGCCCCCAGACAATGCCATTTCTTAAGAAGCTGAGAAGAATGTGGACTGAGAAATAAGCTTAGAACAGGTAATATATGGCACTGGTATGTATCAGTGCAGAACTTGAGGCAAAGTCAACCATACCCTACTATTCAAAACCACATACGCTTTTTCCTTATTTCCTTTCCTCCTCCATGTGCTCATCCACTCTCCAGAGCGGTGGATCTCCAACTTCACTGGAGGGGCTTGTTAAAACAGATCACTGGGTCGCGCTCCCAGTTTCTGGGGGGAAAGCTCAGGAACATGCATTTCTAACAAATTCTCAGGTGATGCTGACGCTGCTGGCCTTGGGACAACACTTTTTGAACCACTACTCGACTGTTTTTTTGTTTTAAAGATTTTATTCATCTATTTGACAGAGAGAGAGAGAGAGGCAGAGAGGCAGGCAGAGGGAGAGGGAGAAGCAGGCTCTCCGCTGAGCAGGGAGCCCGATGCGGGACTCGATCCCAGGACTCCGGGATCATGACCTGAGCCGAAGGCAGCCACTCAACCGACTGAGCCACCCAGGTGCCCCTCGACTGTTTTTCTTACATTTTCTGTGCCTCAGTCCTACCAGGATCATAGTCCCACAGGTGACATCTAGATCCTTAGGAAAAAGACATGCAGAGAACTCAACTGGTTGCAAAACAGTAACAAAATATACAAAAATAAACAGCTATGACGCACGATTTCTTTACTCCTGCAGACAACTGAAGTGCTTAAACATATGTCCAATAATGAAGTGTAACAAATAAATTACCTTCATTCATTTTGGAAACCTCATTTCAGTCATGATTTGCTGAAGGGCATGCTAGTAATGAAAAGCACATTTTTTTTTTAAGTGAGAATTAGCAGTAGAAAATAATGCCAACTAGGTGTCTAAGCCAGGAATGGCAAATCTCATCTCCTGTGTGCTAATTCTGATCGACCGATAATGTGTACTTGGAGAGCTCCGCTAAGAAAGGCTCTGAGGCTGCTTTCAGGCTTAAAAAAAAAAGTTTCATAATTGACGAGCCAAGTATAACATGATCATAAGAATAAGTACTATTTCCCAGATGCCACAAAGTAAGAATAAGAGGTACAAAAAGAGATCACAATGTGTAAGTTAAGTAAATGTCATTAATAAAGAAAATGTTGCAAAAAAAGAAATTTAAAGTGTGTTTTCATTAACGTGGCTCAAATATTTGGCAGAATGATTTGAAGAGGCTGTGAAAAAAAGGAAACCTTGAACAAGAGACCAGTTAGTTAAAGACAGAGATTATACACAAAAAGGCAGCTAAGGCAAAAGATGAGCCAGCATAGGAAGTCAAAGGACAGATGACACATGGACGAAAATTCAAAGACAGAGGGAGCAGGAGAATGACAGGAGGTATACGCTAAGGCTGCTGTGACTTACCTCAACAGGAAGCTGACTGAACTGTGTCACTAGGCCATCTACAGCTGCTGCTATACCAATAAGGGCAACAACCTTTTGTGGCCTTGCGATTGCAGCATGAAACATAAGCCATCCACCGAGGCTAGACCCAACTAGTATCTAAAAATAAAAATTTATAGTTTTAAAGAGGAATTTTCTTTTCTGTAAGAGGATTGAGTAATTTATGTATGTACTTTTTTTCTTCTACATCCATTAGCTCCCAGACTTTTAATATTTGGCACAAAGTAGAATTAAAATTATGATTGCAGTGAAAAGTAAAATGCTTACATTTTACGAGAAAGTGAAAATAGAACAATTTTAAATCAAATACCAAAAGTGATGGTTAAACATTTAAACTACTTAATTTTCATAGCTAAAGAAACAGCTAAAAAATCATGAGGTTAGTTAATAATCATATTTAACAAAAAGTCACCTGTGGCCCTTCAGCTAAGTCATCAATTATAGAAAGAACATCTTTTCTCCATCTTCCCACTGTGCATTCTTGTAAGTTGCCATCTGAATTTCCAACTCCAGAGTAATCAAACCTAGAGAAAGGGAAAACAAATCTGTATCTAGATGTCTATCTATGTTTGTTTCTCTGATTTTTAAGGAAGACAGCACATTTATCATTATTACAATGCTTAAAATATATTAAAATAAAACACTGAGGTCAGTACATATTTCAGCAGACCCCACTGGCATAACCTTCAAATATCGCCTCCATCCACTAACTCTCTCACCTTCCCCGCCACCAGCGGCGGCTCCACGTCACGATCTCCTCTGCCTGGACCAGCGTGACAGTCTCCGCCTAAGTCTCCTGCCTCCCTTTCCTATCCTTGTAGTCTCTTCCCCATGTCGTCAGTGATCCTTTTAAAGCAAAAATCATGTCTTGCACAAACCCTCCAAAAGCTTTCTATAATCTTAAAATGAAATATGAAGTCCTTACCATCCCGTGGCCTCTGACTACCTCTCTGATCTCGTTTCTTCCTGTTGCCTCCCTCCCAACTATATCTTCACTCACTTTCTTGAAGTTAATGGAATACACCACCCATGTTTGTGCCTCGGGAGTTTTACATCAGCTGCTCTCTCTACACCTCCAGATATCCACTTTGCTCGCTCCCTCACTTCATTCAGGCCTCAGGCTCCAATGTTACATCCCCAGCGATGCCTTCTGTGACCAACTCAATCCAAAATTGTGCTTCTTTCATCATTCTCGAATTCCTCACCCTGCTTTATTTTCTTCATGGCAGATTCTGCTACTTGACATATAAGAAATGTGACTGTGGTCTGTCTCCCACACTGGAATGGAAGCACCATTTGGGCCTGGACTATTTTGTTCACCACTGCTTTCCCAGTGCCTAGATCACCACTTTGCATATGGTACGTGCTTAGTATTTACTAAATTAATGAAAGGGAAAAAGGCAAATCAAATTTATGAACACCAGCTCATCCTGTTAGTCTGCTTCTCTTTCCAACTTTCTAGTTCTCCAGGCTCAAAGTCTGTGTGATCTCTGCATTTTCCCTCTCCTTCAAGGCCTCAATTCAACAGATCATGAAGTATACCACACCTGCAGACTGCCTTGAACCTCAGTGCCTGGGTAAGCCTTTCGTAATGCTGAGTCTTTGCATGCGGTCCCACTGCCTGGAAAGCCTTCCTTCCCCACCCAAACTCCTACTCATTAAGTCAAGGCACTTCCTTTGAGGCACTTTCTTTGACATACACGCCCCGCTTACTACCATCAGTCACCTTCTTTTGTATGTACTCATTCAACACTTTTTGTATTATGTTGTAATCAAGTTTCAAATGTTTGTCTGACTACGATGTCAGTTCTGCAAGAGCAGACCATTTTATTCAAATCTTCTTTTTTTCCAGGGTACGGAACGCTGCCCCCCCCATCCTCGCTCACTCCCTCTCATTTCTCCTCATTCATCTCTCTCTGCAGTTTGGTAAGACCACTATCATGCTACAAAACTGGCCTAGCACAGTAGCCTCCTGTGTTTCTACGACTAGTCCCTCTCCAAACGGATCTACTTTATATCTGTCAGGTTTTTTTCTGCAACATTATATTGACATGGCATAAGCTTCAGTGGTTCCCTGTGACATACAACATAAACATTTAGCGTGTCAGCCTGTTTTTACAGACCATTAGCTTCTGGTCATCTTGGATCAACCTTTTATCATTTCATCAGAGGCAAATGCCACATTGGGCAAGCTGATCAACTCGCTGTTACTCAGCTGGCTCTCGCTTTCTGTCCTGTTTCATGCCTCATACTGTTCTCTTCACCTGGAGTACCTTCTCCTTTCACCTTCACAGCTCATACGCTCTTAGAGCTTAGTCCAAATGAACCTTTTTTTGCTGGAGAAACTTCCCAGAAAAGCTGAAGAAAAAATTTCTACCTCATGAAGCTTATATAGAATTCATTTTTAGCAGTTACAATCAACTTTTTACAACCTGCTCTGTAAGACAGTTTGCGTGTGTAGTGCGCCTCGTCATCACTGTGAGACTGACAGATCCTCGCGGGGAACACCATTCTTGGTTTGTCTTTGCATTCTTCACAGAGGCGAGGCATATAAGCCTCATACACTGAGTATCACAACACATACTAAATAAATAAAAGCGGAAGATAAAAGTCAAAAGAATCACTTTATTCAAATTTGAAGCTTTCATGTTTTGTTTACTCTTCAAATCTGGTGAAAACTAATCCTAGTGTTTTTAGTGTACTCGTAAGAATATATATATGAGATATATAGCATATAACATTTTCTTAGGAATTTATAAATCCTGGAGAAAGAAGAAATAAAAATTTTCTTTAGGTATAAAGTGAAATGATTTGGGACCCATGGGAATTGTGTAACAAGGCTGCTGCTGAAGTCTCGATCAGTTATTACTTCTCGCAATCCAGGGTACATGGCAGACAGACCCAGGAGAAGAGGGAAGACACCAGTCAATCCTCCTTTTCCCTCCCCTGGTGGGCAATCGGGCATCTCTACTTGCTGCATCTTTTACAGCTGCCTTCTAAATATATGATGCAGATGCAGAATACATACAGAGTCCCTCCAAAGAGGGAAAAGTAAACATTTAGTGACACTAAAAAGTATAAGTAAAAAATACAGTTCACTCTTGTTGAACCCTAATGAAGGCACGGAGACAATTCAAACATATTCAGCTGTTTAGGACTTTAAAACATAGCAACACACTACTGTTCTAGCAGCCTCAACACTCTGGGACATATCCCCAAATCTACAATTAAATATTTTATGACAAATAAATATGAGAGAATACCAGCCCTAAGGCCATGTGCTACATTCCTGAGCTCTGACTCAATCTTATGTTAGGCAGGGTGACAGGACTTCAAGAAACCATTTTCCTATAGCCATATGTACCACTTCTTGTACAATATACAAAACTAACTATTTCTTCAAGATCCAAGATCTTACAGCCAAAAACACAACAAAAATAAACTGAGGAACTGGTGTATAAATAAAAGATAAAATCTCCTATAACAAGCTAAAATGCAATCAATAGTTAATAGTGATTAGATTGCAATGAAGTTTGATAAAAGCAAATAAAAAGGAATTTGGTTAAATTAAAATTTTATAGTGAAGGGCTATACTTCTATAAGGTTTATAAAATATATTTTGGCTATGTTTTAACACAGTACCACTTAATGGTCTGTACACATTATAATTCAATCGTGTTCATTTACCTTTAAAAAATGTATTTCATATGTATCCAAAATGCAGAAAACCTAGAGATGTCATGCCTTATAGGGAGATAGGAACTGGTTACAGTGCTCATAGTCTCAATTTAAATTCAAGAACCAGTAAAATGGTGATTTCTTGATTCAAATTCTTTTGGGGACAAAAAGAATGATGGCAATTTTTCTGATATTATCATGCTTTGATCCGGGTAGTGCTCCTTCCTGTATAGCTCTTCCTTCTTACCCACATCTGAACTATCCTTCAGTGTGCCTTTATGAAGTATTTTTTATCCACTTCAATCCTCAGTTTTCTCTCACTTTGTGCAATTAAGTATACTGTTCTTTTGACACAATCACATTCTGATGAGTATTTTTGCTCAATTTCTCATATGTATTTTATCTTGTGTTTCCCCAACCTGATCTTAAGAACAATGGCCATGTTTTAGAATTCGCTGTGTATTTTATGGCACCCAGCAATAGTACTAGAAAGTCTACTTGGAAAAGATAGTCCAGTCTTCAGAATAACAGTTAAGTCAGTGCAGATTTTTAAAAGTTCTGAGCATGAAAATAAAACCACTCAGTTAATATGATAAAAGGAGTAACACTAAATCCATATAATTGACATAATCTCAGCTAATATATTGAATAAAATCTGTAAGTTTTGTTTTTAAAATTTATTTACTATCTTATTTTTGAAAGATATATTTTCTAGACCCACTGAGTGAATGTTAGTGAGACTACTAACAATTTAGATGAATACATTTTTAGGCTGTTAGTGATAGAAAGGATTCAGAAACTATCTTTAGTTCAACCTGCCCTTTTTTTATGATGAAGAAAACAGGTCCAGTGTTTATCAGCTGACTCATCTTGTCACAGTTATTGCTGGAACTGATTCTAGTACCTATACTTCTTGCATCCCAGGCCAGTGTTCTTTCTACTAAACCATACTATCTCTTCTGGCAAATTAGGCACTATATAAATGATTGTTACAGGTACATAAACCCAATAACAACAATGTAAGCACATTGTTTTACTAAAATAATTATCAGTATGAAATACTGGGAACCGTGATACCAAATTTTGGTTAAACAACACATATCTTCTCTATTTATGCTTCTACATATTCACCTACAGGAGTGAGGGGAAAGAGAAACCTCAGTGGAAAGGTGAATTATACAATACTAATTTTCGAATACTTTATTTTTTTATAGGGGCGTGGAAAGCCAATGAAAATACTAAGCCAGAGAAATAAATTTAGGAGTTAAGAGACTACACTTAAAACCAAGGGGAAGAATGGGCTCAATAGGAAGAGGATGGGAAATGAGAACCTAAAAGATCCCAGGTAAGAGACATGAAAAATATACAATATTCTTAAATACATATTTTAAAAGTAGAGTTATAAAGAGTGGCCAAATAAAAGCCTTTAAGTCCCCAGTGGAAAACCACAATATAATTACATTACAAGAAAGCCAACTACTATTATTGGTTTGCTGTCCTGTTGGATTATTCTATCTAGAATTTAGTTACCACTAGTTTCCTTTCCTGCCAGCATTGTCAGGGTGGCACAAAGACCATTAAAAAAGGTCTTTTAAGGGTTGCATTTATGATAGCCCTAAATCACAAGGTTAAAGTTTACAGACCATTAAAATAAGTTAATCCATAAAAACACTGGCATTTGCTTTAACTGGTTAGAGCAGAAATAATTCTCTGTTGCCATGCTAAATGGTAGTAGTATTTTCTCTGAAATGCATTGTTCCTACCTTATATAGGCGTGACCTAGAGATTTGCAAAACTCTTCAATCGCCAATGCTTTTGTACCATTCATATTAGAAATATAGCCAGGGATGAAGATAACTCCTGGACTTTTGCCTTTTAGCTTCTTATAAGCCAGGTTTGGAAGGTCTGGTCGACTAAGGAAAGAGACTGATGTCTTTTGTCTGCAAGCTAAACAAAGTACACAAAACATAAACTACAGTTCACAAATACTGTTTTTGGAAAACCATATACAATTGACCCTTGAACAACATGAGGGTTGGGGTGCTAACCTCCCACGTAGTCAAAAATCTGCGTGTAACTTTTTTAAAAAAATTTTTTATTGTTATGTTAATCACCATATATTACATCATTTGTTTTTGATGTAGTGTTCCATGATTCATTGTTTGTTCATAACACCCAGTGCTCCATGCAGAATGTGCCCTCTTTAATACCCATCACCAGGCTAACCCATCCCCCTACCCTCCTCCCCTCTAGAACCCTCAGTTTGTTTTTCAGAGTCCATCATCTCTCATGGTTCGTCTCCCCCTCTGACTTACTCCCCTTCATTCTTCCTCTCCTGCTATCTTCTTCTTTTTCTTTTTTCTTAAAATATGTTGCGTTATTTGTTTCAGAAGTACAGACCTGTGATTCAACAGTCTTGCACAATTCACAGCGCTCACCGTAGCACATACCCTCCCCAATGTCTATCACCCAGCCACCCCATCCCTAAAAATCTGCGTGTAACTTTTGACTCCCCCAAAACTTAACTACTAATAGCCTACTGTTGATTGGCGGCCTTACCAATAACATAAACAGTTGATTAACACATATTTTGTTTGTCGCATATATTACATATCATATTCTTACAACAAAGTAGGCTAGGGAAAAGAAAATGTTAAGAGAATCATACAGAAAATATATTTACAGTAGTGTACTGTATTTATGGAAAAAAAAAAACAATGTATAAGTGGACCTTTGCAGTCAAACCCATATTGTTCAAGGGTCAACTGTATATTTTCAATCTGAGCTTTCTTAACTTGTCAAATTGATGTCAAAACTACTTCCATTTAAGAGGAAAAACAAAAAGACTTGAAGTACTAAAATCACAAGCCTATGCATGGTATTTTCTGAACTCATATCAAAATCAGTGCCTTTGAGCAAGGTCCAATCTTGATTCTTCCAAAATATGCAATGAGGAGGAAATTTCAAGGCAATAAAAGATAAAGACTTGTAAAAAATGTTTTCCTGTTGCTGCTGTATCATCTGTCCTAAATAGTATCAATCAACTTTCAGATTTCTCTATACCAGTTTTAGCCTTCTCTTGTGAGTTTTTTTAATTTTTTCAATGTTTGAGGAGTTTCACATCCTCTACTTTTTGTCAGGGAGGGGGAGAAACAAGTCTGGTCTGCCGTTGAGAAACTGTTCCAAAGGTGGGGCTGCTGGTGTGCCACTTTTACTACTGGCTCCCTCGCCACCCACAGATTCATGGTCTATGGTAATAGCCAATCATGACTCTTTATCAGCTGAGATGGCTTCAGTGAGCAGTTTCTTTACAAGTGACCTTGAATAATTTATAATAGTACCATTTTTGGAAAAAGATTTCTCACAGGGCTCTGCAATCACTATGTGTTTTATTTGTTGGTTTGGCTTTTTGTGAATGCTACACAGATCTTCATGCAATTTAAGTACAATAGTACAACTGGCAAACTTTACAAGGTTACTCATTGTTTCATTGTTTTTGAAGTTTTTTCCTACCATAAAATCTATACTTGCTCTTAAAAAAAAGTAAAAAGATATTTAAAAGAACATTAAGTCATTTATAATCCCACCTCCTCCTTCCAGAGAAATTAGGTTTGTGGGGCGTCTGGGCGGCTCACTCGGTTGTGTCCAACTCTTGATTTCTGCCCAGGTCATGATCTTGGGTGTGAGATGAAGCTCCGCATCCGGCTCCGTGAAGAGCACAGAGTCGGCTTGGGATTCTCTCTCTCGCTCTCCCCCCACCCCCCATCCCCCCCATCCCCCACGCACACACACAAGACACACATTCCTGCTTTCTCAATAAATAAATAAATCTAAAAAAAAAAGTTTGTGTATTTCCTTACAGTCTTTTCCTGGACTAACAAAATCTCTTATAGTAAATGAAACCTTCCTCTCCTTTATTGTGGCCAATGAAAACATCTTGGCCCCCTCCACGAGAGTTGATAAAAGCTTCCTTCATTTTGGATTTGAGTTTTTTTTTTTTTTTTTTTTTAAAGTAGGCTCTATGCCCAGGTAGGGCTTGAACTCACGAACCTGAGGTCAAGAGTCCTACACTCTATCAACTGAGCCATCCAGGCAGCCTGAGAAGTTGAATTTTTAAAAACTGAATTGAAGGCGTAAAGCTATCCTTATTACATATAAGTGTGTTTCAAAGTTTCAGTGTATAGTGAAATATGCCAAATTTAAAACTTTTAGCGAAAACCAGGGCTAGTAGGGGCCAGTCACGTTGGTTGGTAGACTGTATTTGCAAAAATGTCAACTTCCAATTTCCTTAGCTCAGCACTCAAAAAATCCCTCCTATCCTCTTCTTGATATTACTTCCCCAAGCAGGAATTTCTTCTGGAGACGATTACAATTTACTTCATCTTGATGAGTTGTAAGAGGACAGGTTCTTAACATTACACCCATTATCCTACAACGATGAGCTCAAAGGCTGATGCGTTAAGTTCTCAATGATGTGCCAAATAGATGAAAGAGTATTACAATCTAGTTAATGAACTGACATACCATACTTCGATAGAGGAACTTACATATAACAAGCCTTTAGGTTGTATAGAATTAAATGTAAGTTAAGCTGATTATATACATTTAAAAATTTTAACTAAAACAAAGGGTATCAGCAATGACGTTTCTATTCCAAGCACAGTGCACCTGACAGCTTGTATGGCAAAGGTGTAAACAACAAAACCGGAGAATAAAAAGACACAATTCAGAAAGACAGACTATATATGCTGAGGGTAGGGTGGTACGGAGAAGAATCAAAGACAAGATAAAGACAACATTCTGATGCTCTCATTTTTGGTCCAAATTCTAGTTTCCTTTGTTGAGTAATGATTATGGTTTTCACTGAGCCGGGAGCATCGAGAAGGCAAAATCAGAAATTAGGCTTGATGGCGGCGTCTACACTTTTGCAACAACAAAAAAGTTCATATCGTAAATTCCCTCAAGTGAAACAAAGGCAGGTCTAAGCATCCTAAGAGTCAAGATTTGTAAACCCCTTAGACCCGAAGAGAAAAGAAAGAAAAAGCAACTAATAAACGCACATCTTAATATTTCCTAGGGTTGGCGCTTAACGCGCGGGGAGGCAGGCAGGGAGTAGAATCCTGAAAACGGCAGAGCGGAAAACGCCAGCAAGGGCCCGGGCTGTGCAGGATACCCGGGGGCCAGGAAGAGGTCTTCTTACTGCCTTCACCAGAATTGTTGAAAGCGCCTAAAACTGGGGTACTGAGAATGGGAGAAGAGCATTTTGAAATAGGGCGCCAAAAACGCACTAGACAGGAACGCACTGAACCCGATATTCGAAAGAACGCGTACTTCTCCCGCCTTTCGGACACTGACCTGGGAGCCACAGCGGCGTTCCCTCGGGCTTCCCGGCGAGTAACGCGGTGAGGCCACGGTGGAAGCCGAAGACTGCCGCTTTGCTCCACCTCCGGCAAGGTACCCAAGCGCCCAGAGCCGCCATGCCCAGTCCGGCCATCTTCCCAGCGGCCCCTGAGCACCGAGCCGACTCACAGAGTCGCTCAGTGCACAATAACTGAGGCTGCGCGTGCGCCGCCAGCCGGAAGCCCGGACTTGCTAAAGAGTACCCCGGGAGCGTAGCACCAGAGAGCGCACATGCGCAGAGCGTCGTCGCGCTGGCCCTCCTCTCGCTATTGGACAGTTGATTCTCTCATTTTTTTGCCTTTGATGCTGCAGAATGTTTTGAGTGACTTCAGTAGGCGACTTTTTCAATGGGCAGATAGATATTCCGTGGCTGGAGGCGCCGAGAGAACGCGAATCCAACGCTCCTAGATAGGAAACCGTCTCATCATCCCGAGGACACTAGGGAGCGAAAGCATAAGATGCTAGCTAGCTAGGCTGCTTGCATTACAACTCGCTCTCCCTCCCCGACAGTTTTAAGCTGTACCGGAAATGCTTCCAAGATCTGACCTTAATCCTGCTTACAGAAATACCCGGAGTGGACTCGCTCACGGCTCCTTCGTTTTTTGCTCTAGCTCTTTGTATGCCTGACAATTGAATTTTGGAATTATTCCGTCCCCTGCCATATGTTAATGTGCAAAAATAAATCCCAGTAGATAAACGATCTCAACGGAAGAATAAAATTGAGAGGATTTAAATACACTGAGCATATTTCATAGTTTGGGGAAAGAAGGGACTTTCTTAAGCAAGATATGAAACAAAATCATAAAAAATAAAAATGTATATGAATTTCAACTTTTTGAATGGCAAAAGTCATCTTGAGTCAAATGAGAGTCTAGAAAAAACTGATTTTACAGCACAGATAACAGAACAATAATACTTCTATTCAGCCTGCTCCTAGAAATAAGGGGAAAAACCTATAATTTCAATAGAATTGGTCGATGGCTGTGAATAGGCAGTTCATATGTAAAGATGTTCAACTTCACTAATTGAAAAATATGAATTGAAAAAATAACGTTATTTTTCTCAGGCATCAGATTCGCAAAAATTAAAAAGAGCAACTATTGGCAAGGATGCTGGGAAACTGGCACTCGTATAGGGTTGGTAGGAGGGTTAATTGCTAAACTTTTCTGTCAGGTAATCTCACCACACCTATTAGGGTTTAAGTTATGCATCATTTTCAATGTCCTTGACCCAGTGGCCCCAGTTTGTGACTCTCCTGTAGAAAACAACACTAGTTCATAAGGAGGCATATTATCAGCTACATCACCATTTTTAGAAGGAAGCAGAAGAAAAAATGGAATAATAGTCAATAATAGAAAAATGGTTGAATAAATTGTACAAGAGTTTCTGAATTCTAGCTCTGGCACCCTTCAAATTAATCCTGGGGGTGTCAAGCATCCACAAGTAAGATCTTTTTTTCTACTTCAGGCTACTGTGGTTGGTATAATACTTAAGTAAAGTCAGTTTACTATGTTGGTCATAAATTTTGGAGCAATGATTGATGCTAGAGTTAAAGGCAAAGTTTGGATACAGTGAATCCAGCCTATCTTTGGAGTCTTGAGAACCTGTCTTATTGGAACATACTGAAAAAGTTAGTTAAATAAAAATTAAGTAGATCTTTCTTGGGTGGTGTAGTGCCAGAAATAGATAGCAAGGAGGGCTGCTTGATTTCAGGTGGCACTCCAAAAGCTGGTGAGCTGTTTTGCCAGTTCTCCATTAGGCCCGTTGTAGACTACAAAGGACGTAAATCAATAAGGTGATACACAATGCACATCACTTCACTATCCCTTATATCTTAATAATCAACATTTCTTGCTGTGGTTTTTGGATAATTGCAAATATCCTCAATCATTCCTGTCCTTATTCTCTCCCTTTATTTTTGCAGATCTTCTTACATTTTATGTGCAGCAAAATGAAAAAAAAAATCTGCCTTGTCTCCATAATGGGAAAAGCTCCGTACACGGACTGTTCTATCCACTCTTATCAGTATAACAAATCAGGAAAAACCTTGGCTAGATCAAGTGAAGATGCTTTTACCCACAGTGATGGGCTTGAAGTAAACGAATCTGTTTCCATTCCCACTGTCAATGTTGCCTTCATTAACAGGAATGATAGGACGTATTGTTCAGGGCCATTTCTCTCTCTGAAACCTGCTGCCTTAGCCCAGGGAGACAAATGAGGTCGCTATCAAATAAAGCCCTTAATTCACACCTGCATGATTTTCTCCCTGCCAGAGAAATAAGCACAGTCCTTGCAATCCCCAGTAATAACTGCATCTTTGCAAAAAGACAGTAAGATGTCAGATTTGTCAGGGGTTATCTCACTTTGTCAGCAACAGGAATGTGACCAGAGAGACTTAGAATTACTTCAATTTATAAAACTACAAATCATAATATTAACACACAACAACTTTTGTGGAGATTCACAATTGACTTTTGCTGATTAATCCATCCCCTGTCATGTCACCAATAGGTAACCTTCTAATGAGAGATGAGTTTATTTTCAAATGTGAAATCTGGTCAACATTTTAATCCATACTCAACATATTTTAACACACATTTTAAAAGGTTTACTACATCATGCAAGATATAATGCTGATTAAAATATCTTTATAATCCTATAAAGTACAGTACAGACAAGTTACATCTTTACATTACAAAATTTTAGCAATTGCATTTCACTCTTTTAGATCATTACGGGTTTGGGGTGATCTCTGAAAAAACATATTATAAAAATGTCTTTTGCAATCGTGACTTTGTCCTCCACTGTTCAAGTAAAATCATGTGTTATCCAGTTGCAAAATCTTATTATTGGCAACATGTATACATGTATACAAACCACACTGCAAAGTTTTAAAAATTGTACCCCGTCAGGCCTGACAAAGATTTTACAGACACTTCCAATCTAATCATTTCACCCTGTACTAGTAAGCAAAGCCGTTATTTTCTATTTCTATTCATTTGCCAACTTTTAGGAAAGAGTATGTTTATACTTGCAAATACACACAACATGACAAACCAGGATAAAGTTATTTGAAAAACTGTTACAAAAGAGACTTGCCTGAAGTCATTTCATTCAACAAAAATTAATTTAACTCTAAAAAACATAGGCTAAATGTAAAGAAATACATAATAAAATAGTACATTACAAAGAACATTAAGTCGAAGTTCATTTTCCTTTTTATAGAGCTATGCTACTTCTGTAAATAAGTATTTTAATTGGTCTGTTCTTTGGTGAAAACAGAGCTCTGATTTCATCGTTATGGCACGTGAGGCTGCAATTAACAGGCATGTTCTACAAAAAAGAGGAAACAGACAATCTAAAGGAAATTGGCTGCTGGCTACCTTTATTCTCAGCACTGGAAATGGAGGAATCTTTAGCAAAATATGAAATATTCTCCTTATTTTAAATTGCTCAAAGTGACAGAATGTCTAATAAGATGGCTTCTGTCTAAAACACACAACTTTTTGTTTTTTCTTCTTTTACAAAAAGTGATTTGCTCTCTATGTACAATAGCTTATACCAGTCGTAACTCTTCAGAGTCAACTTTCTAGACAGTTGATGGCATCAAAGTACCATTTTAAAATGTAGAGTAACACTAAATGCGGTTCATCACCTGAAACTACCACTATTAAACAGAAGTCATATCAAGTCTTTGGTGTAGGTGCAGTACTTAATAATTACGGCAAAACTCCTCCTAAAATATATTCCCCTCCAAATCCTTATTTGCTTCTATTTATAAAATAACCTTCAGCAAAATGCTTTTTAAAATACCGGTTGATAACCAATAATGTCAATGCCAATAACTGGGGTGCTAAAATAATTTCATATTTCCAAGTACATACATTTTGTAAACCATTCAGTTTATTTCACCAAAGTAAACAATCGATAAAAATAGTTTATAAGAAATGTTCCTACAAGTGATGCTATTTACCAAAATAGTCGTTTTTTTCTTTTCTCATAGGTGCTTTAATCCTTTTGCTATTTATCATCCAGCTCTGAATTTAAACCCTTTTTTTCTCTTTTATAAATGACTTTCTATTAATATAAAAGGAGTTCTGAGTATACACAGTGAGAAGGATGGGTCTGTTGGGTCTTTCCATCTGGGATTGAATATGGCTTCATTCTTGTACGAGATTATTGCAGTCAGCCCTGAAGTAGACCGTTATTCACTACAACAAGAAGTGCGTGTAACCTTCTGCCCCAGTAACTATAACATCCATCCAAATCCGCATGGCTTCCGGCGATGGCGCAACCATATAGTAGATTCTGTCGTGCGTCTTGACACTAAAGGTGAGTAATGGATTAGGACTCTAAAAATCAAAAAAGGAAAACAATGTAAAACAAACATCCTGAAATTAAATGACACAGACATATGTGAGGGCTTCTTCCTCTTTAAAAGTTCTAATTTATAGAACTCTAAATTGGTGTTACTACTGCTCTAGTATAACCTGTAGCCCCACCTCCAACACCTTTCTCAAGATCGACTGTCTTTCCAAACTTTCTGCACAAGAAATATCACACAGAGAGCTCACCAATCAATCTTCTTAGCAGCTACTTTGTAGGTAAAGCTCTAGCCGGGTACCTAGCTGATAGTGGGTGCTCGATAAGCGACAGCTTATTCTTAGCGTTACTAAGATTCTTCCTTATAGAGTAGCTCCTTTTTAGAACCTCACAAAAAAAAGTCACTTAACAGGGTCTTCTAAATTAATATGACCAGAAGATTTTCTCACTTCACCATGACTTTTTTTCCCCACAAAATATCAGCTGTATTAATTACTTCCATGTTCGCTTTTCTAGAACCATTATGATTATATCAATCAGTTATGTCAAAACAACAAATCTAAATTGCTTGGAGTTCAAAAAACATCTTTTTCCCAATTTAATCATGCATTCAAAGGACAGAAATCTGAAAATCAGTGTTTACCTTATTAGCGTTCTTGAGGTGATCATAATACACTTCTTCAATGGCTTGGAAGTATATTACTCCCTTTAATTTAGCTTCATGCTTGTCTGCAATAATAAATAGTGATAAAATACTTTACCACCACTGATGGACTGGAAACATTGTAACTTCAGTATAATTATTAAAATATTTATCTAGGGGCGCCTGGGTGGCTCAGTCGTTAAGCGTCTGCCTTCGGCTCAGGTCATGATCACGGGGTCCTGGGATCGAGCCCCGAATCCCGCTTCTTGCTCTGCGGGAAGCCTGCTTCTCCCTCTCCCATTCCCCCTGCTTGTGTTCCCTCTCTCACTGTCTCTCTCTGTCTCTGTCAAATAAATAAATAAAATCTTTAAAAAAAATATTTATCTAGTTTTTAAATTACCTAAGATTAATTTGGATAATTTAGGTGAAGGCATTAGCCCAGTTCTATACTGAAAAAACAAAAACAAACAAACAAAAAGGAATAATCTGCCCAACCCTCGGGGACTAATTGACTTTGCCCAAGGCTCTCCAGCAAATTTGCAGTCAAGACAACCCAGAACTCTTGACAGTCAGTCAAGTGAGCACACAAAGTATAAACACCACTGGCACTGACACAAATTACCTCCTCACATTCTCCAGAACAGTGGTTGTCCCGGAAACATTAGTATGTAGAGCTGTTGTAATGAAATTTGTAAGAAGGGTGTTTTTTGGACATAATTTAAAATAATATTCTACTTATATTCCTTTCCTATGAATTTCTTGTCCAGCATGCTTTTTCTCCTGTTCCCAACAGAGCTTCAATGTCAATAATTTAACATCCTTTCAATGCAGCATTTTCCAAACGGTTTCTAAGATTTCATCAAATTTGCCATTAAAAACAAAAAAAAAATGTAAAACGAAACAAAAACAACCAACCAACGAAACCACCAACCAAACAGCATCCCTCTATGATCTAAGAAGTTCTTGAAATATTTTGTAACTTATGGTCAGCAAAGATCATAAATGCATGTGAGCATACTGAAGAATTTTAAAAGCATGGAAGAGGCTGCAAAGAAAGAGACTCTATCATATGCTGCTGGGGGAAGTGCAAATAAGAAAGCTTTGGGAAGGCAGTTTGGGAAAACTGCAAACAGTCCTCTCACTCAGCAATTCCACTCCTCAAACCTTATTGTGTCAGAGCTACTCATGCACATGCACATGGATTTGTGTTCGTTACGGCAGAAGGCTGCAAAAATCTGCTTGAATTTAACAGGGGACTGATTCAATTAGAGACCAGCCATACAGTGGAATCCACACAGCCACTGAAATTCAAGACTAGATCTGTGTGTGTTCATGAGAGAAAAATCTTGAAATACTGTTATGTGAACCAAGTTATGAACAGAGTGAATAATTTGGTCCCAACTGTATTAAAAAAGAACACACATATATACTGGAACATATATATAAATGGAGAAAAGGTCAGAACTTTTGTGACGTGAAAGAGATTTTCATTATACAGACTTCTGTTCTATTTTTAAGAATTTTATTCATGAATGTTTCTGTTTTCAACAACGAAAAGCTAGTCTGAAAAACAACAGCCCTGAGAAGTTCAGTGGAAAATATAAAGCTGTTATAGTACATTTAACTCAGCATTTCCCTAACTTATTTCTTTTCAAAGATTTAATCTATTTATTGAGAGAGAGAGATAGCAAGAGATAGAGCACAAGTGGGGGTAAAGGAGAAGCAGGCTCCCCGCTGAACAGAGCGCCCGATGTGGCACTCGATCCCACGACCCTGGGATCATGACCTGAACCGAAGGCAGCCGCCCAACCGAGTCACTTAGGCACCCTTTCCCTAACTTATTTGACCATGTTTGACCATGGACCATAGTTGTATGTGTTTGTTTGTTTTGCTCTTCCTCGGGAAACACTGCTTTAATTCATGCCACGGTCAGTGGGTTTCCATCAGTTTCTGTGAAAGAGGTCAGTGTATCTCTCAAATACTCATGGGGAAGGATTCTGCACTATTATTGGGAATACAGCAATATTTCATTTTCTGAAAACAGATGTGAAATAAAAATCTGGAGATAAAAGTAACTCTTATCAGTGTTTCAAAGAGGCAGAAAACTGGGGAATGAAACTTTTGTTTGTAGGGCTCTTCCTCTATGAGAAAGAGCTCTAAAAAAATACTGGTCTCACAAGGACTTGGTGAACTAAGAGAATCAATAATGCTATTGTAAACTGACACGAGAAAGCTACTCATTCAGTTTCCATAGCATTATCCCGTCAATTTACAGATATATTTCCTGGGTCTCAGTTTTCTTTAGAGACTCTTCTAAGGGTACTCAGTTAATATAGAGGCCAAGGGCATGATCAGCACAGGGACTTAGGACTCTGTCAGCGCTCATGGTGACAGCTCCTTCACAAATATGGTGCCCATCTACCTCTGTGCCGGCTGAAGGGGTGCAGCGCCTGGGGGGTTCCTGTCCAGCCTAAACTGCGATCTGTATGGCTTCCTGTGGACTGATCTATTACTGCACTTGGTGATGTTTGGGGGGAGTGGGGGTGGGGGTGAGGTGAGCAGACAAGCTAATGAGGGCTATAAACAGAGCCAAATGACCAGCATTTGTCAAACTAGGACTCACTGGCCAGTTATATAATATGTAAATATTAAAAACCTGAATGAGGGGCGCCTGGGTGGCTCAGTCGGTTAAGCGTCTGCCTTCAGCTCAGGTCATGATTCCAGAGTCCTGGGATCGAGCCCTGTGTGGGGCTCCCCGCTCAGCAGGGAGTCTGCTTCTCCTCCCTGACCCACCCTCCTGCTTGTGCTCTGTCTCTTGTATTCACTCTCAAATAAATAAAATCTTTAAAAAAAATAAAAATAAAGACCTGAATGAAATATAATTTTAGCCTGTGTTATGTATTACAGTTCTGAGTAATCATTCATATACCAAAATGGTTTTGGTCCTTAACAAAAAATTGAAAACCGATCACCAAGAAGTTTGAATTTGGAAAAACGCATTTATATGGTCAGAAGGAGCATAGGTTCTGACATGGGTCAGAAGGAAGCGGAACTGAGCAACTGACGGGGCTGACAAAGAAAGGAAGGAGAAGAGAAATAGAGAAGAGTGAAGCTGTTTTGTCTGAAGGTGATAATTAAAATTTTAGTTTTGGAGAATTCTGGGTGAGATTGTCTGTGGATACTAGCACAGCGCAAAGGTTTGTTTATGGATTTTGCAGACACTAAATTGGCATTTCTCATTAAACTAGCATCTTTTCTGTTGTACTAACTGAAGAGAACATCTCTGGATTCTCATTAAGCCCGACATCAGAAAGCCTGAGAGAGGCAAGCGGGGAACTCCTGAGGGTTAGGCCATTTGCTTTAGGCCGCTAGCCACTGCATTAACTGGAGCCCCACCAAAGAGCCCCTAACTGAAAGTATGAGCCCCTGCCTCCTCCTCACCCCAACTCTAGGGCCCCAGAGCCTGTGTTTCCCCTCTTTCGCATGCTTCTTGGTCACTCGCGCTTCTCTTCATAAGCATATCCTGACCTCACACTATAGATGGAGGGATTGGACTGTTACTTATTTATGGCATCGATGTAACAATTTCTGATAGTGCTCATAAATGCTGGTACCGTCACCACAGAGACAGATCTCTTCACAAGCTCTGGCATGATACCACTTTTCTTCAGTTGTTGAAGAGAGCAGAACTCCACCTGTGCTGACAATGGGCGTGTTTCCCATGTGACCCAGGAGACTTCTTAATAAGTACAGCGGTTACATCCATATTCCAGTATGTTCAGAAGATTCAGTAGGGTACGCTTCTCATAATCCATCATTTAAAGAATGCAAAAAGATTTCAGTCACTTAATCAATACTTACTTGTTCACTTATTCACTGATGAGCTTTATCCTCTGCTTCAATAATCTTCTACTTTATAAACTCTAGCTGAGTGACTGTCAGCCAAGGCTGCCTAATTGTGTGTGACTTAAATAGGGCAGATGACCATAAATAAATAAACAGAAACCCATTTTCTGCCCTCATGGTTTAAAAGTCAATATTTTGGTCTAAAAACAAAAATTCCATTTACTACTTATTTGGACTTCAGCTTATTTCAGAACTAGAAGAGATGAATTCACACTTTTTTTAAAAAAAGCTGTTATTTATTTATTTATCAGAGAGAGAGAGAGAGAGAGAGCGCGCACAAGCAGGGGAGCGGCAGGCAGAGGGAGAAGCAGGCTCCCTGCTAAGCAGGGAGCCTGATGTAGGACTCGATCCCAGGACCGTGGGACCATGACCTGAGCCGAAGGCAGACGCTTAACTGACTGAGCCACCCAGGTGCCCCATGAATTCATACTTTTTAAATAACATAGTTTTTATTATTTCTAGAAAGGAAATTCATATCAGGGGGACTATATATAACCCGAATATAAAATAATACATACCTGCAAAGCTAAGATTGCCATTAATTCTATTACTTACCAATCAACCTATTCATCCTGATGTTTTTGCTCTTTATTTTTTTTATTTTTTTTATTTTTTTAGTTTGTTTTTGCTCTTTAACAGAGAGTTCCTGATTTGAATGTATCACTTAGGGTTTTTTTTTTTTTTTCTCACTCACCTGCATAATAAGAGAATGTGCGCTTGTTCCGATCAAAAACGAACCATCGTTTTTTCCAAGTTTTAATTTTTCCACCCATTTTGATAAGGAATCCTCGGCAGGTCTTCTCTGTGATCGACACATGATAACAGGTATCGATATTGTGGCCAGCAGTTTCTACGTGGCTTCGCAAATCAAAGTCTTCCTTCCGGACAGGCAGATAGCGTGTCAGAGGTCGAGCCTGGAAAAGCACAAACCAATGTCATATTTAGCTAATTAATCATTTCGTTTCAGGTCACAGATGTTTAGGAGTGGACATGAACCGAAAAGCCTAAGCGTTAAAATGTCCATGTGATTATAAGAACTTAAGATAAACATTATCTTTTGGAGTTTAAAAAAGTGCTTAGCATTTTAAGAAGGATGCCACAATATGTGGGGGGGTGGTGGTGGATAAACTCAGGGGAATAGATTCTACTCCTTGAAATGGACAGAAGAGAAAATGGGAAAATGTCATTAACCTTAGCTTTATAAGAGGTACTTAGCACTTAAAAACAGGGAATCATATGAGGCATGAAGTTCCCTGCGCTGCCTCCTACAAATGAGGACTCCTCTCCTGTGAAGTTCCTTGGACTTCCCCCTATACAACCTAATATCAGTTCTTAAATAATCTCAGACATGACCCGACTGGTGAACATTATTTAGTAAGTACACCCCCCCCCACGCAAAGCTAGACACATCAGCTCCCCACACGTTCTGATAGAAATCAAAGGCAGAGATGTATGCTTTGAAAAGTGAAGCTAAAATAAGGTAAGAAGTAGAATCAAAGCCGTACTCAATGAGCTGCCCAATGAGCAGACATGGACAAGATGTACAAAGATGTCTTTTATTTTACTATGGCTACAGGAAAGGTTCATCTAATCTAAGAAGCACGTATCGCCATGGGTCATATTTCTAAAATGGTGCTTTAGTTTATTCTGTTAAATAACCCCACCCCTCTGCCCTGGGGAAAATGACCTAAATATATACTTAGAGGCAAATCTTATAATTAGGATTAAAATAAAATTATGCTTTCTGGTTTGGCTTCAAATACCAAACAGGCACGGATGACCTCCCCCTGCAAATCATAATTTGGCAGAGGCTGGACATAATGAAATAAAATGAACACGTTTTCCTTTGTATTTTTCCTTCAGTATTTTGCCTTTGATTCTGTGGTATTTGACTTCAGACAGATGTCACAGACACTGATACCTCAAAGCACACAGAATCTTCAAGATAGTCTCTCACTGCTGTGCCATCAGACTGCCAGCCACCATAAAGAATAGGGGAAATGGCACCTTTTATCAAGTCTAGTAAACCTTGGCAAAATGGATTTGAACCTTGCGTTAAGTGGTACTGCATGAAATTTTATTTTATTTTATTTTATTTTATTTTATTTTATTTTTTTTAAAGATTTTATTTATTTATTTGAGAGAGAGAGAGAATGAGAGAGAGAGCACGAGAGGGAAGAGGGTCAGAGGGAGAAGCAGACTCCCCGCCGAGCAGGGAGCCTGACGTGGGACTCGATCCCGGGACTCCAGGATCATGACCTGAGCCGAAGGCAGTCGCTTAACCAACTGAGCCACCCAGGCGCCCATGAAATTTTATTTTAGTTCCTCCACAAACATATATTATGTAGGCAGGTTTAGTGACAAAGATTTAAACTCTATGATAAGCAAGAGAGGAAGTTAAAGGAAATGTGTGGTTTTCCTGAGCTTTGCTTGAGTTCAGTAACCTTGCACACGTATGTGTGGAAGGCTGTAGTGAAGAGGACATGTGTGACAATACAGTGGCCAGGAAACCAAACCAAAACAAAAAACCCACTAACACTACCAAAAAATTGGGTTGGTAAAATTATTTTGTTCTGGAGTGTTTGCTTCCAAAAATGGCTTAATAGAACCTCTTCTCTTCCTCAACCGAAGGTTTTAGTTTGGGTGTTGTATTTGTTTTCAGTAGCAAGTCCAGCTGCGTTTTTCAAAGCTGCTCAGAAAAACATGCTCCTCTTAAATATACCACAAAAAAATGGGTAGAAGAAAAAAATGCCTCTCCCATAAAAATGTTCCACGCATGACTAGGGAAAAGTATCATTTGGTTAGTAGGTCCCAAAGAGTTTTGAGATAAACATACATTTTTTTGGTCTCTGAACCGCCACCGGCCTCTTGGCAGTCACATGTCAAGGGCTGAGGACGGGAGGTGCCCAGAAAGGCATCCTGACAAGCACAGCCGTCTTCTAAAGAATGACCACCAGGGGGCAACCTATTCTAATCCATCCAGATTGTCACACCAACCTGTGCCCTTTGTTTCTCCCTTATTTTTACTTCCTTTTCGATTAACTTCTGCCGCTGGCTAGTTTCCTCCTGCAATCGTTTTTCCAGGAGTTCTCGGCGTCGTTTTTCTTCTTCCAGAGCTCGTTTCTTGGCTTCCATTTCCCGTTCCTAAATATCATTATGCAGAACAAATTTTAAGACATGCTGGTTACAGGGTGCCTTGGTGGCTCAGTTGGGTAAGACATGCTGGTTACACTTGAATGATTCCAACTAATGGAAAAGAAAATTCTCACTAGATAATTGCTGGTTGTATAGTCTGGGCTCTTCCAATAGACCACCTAGACTAAAATCACCTCTCACATAGTTTTCAAAATCATTCCACACAGAAAGGCAACCAACATTTAATTAACAACTGAATATTAAGTGAAAATCCAGCTTGTGGTATTCAGTCATTTCATACAGATGACTGAAAAGTGGGACCACTCTCCCACTTTTAATAAAAAGGATCACAAATCATCACCCAACACTTGTCATGGCATTTAGCCCTCTTTTCTGTGGGCCATCTTTTAAAGGAAGGCCATGGGTCCTGGTCTTTCCGGTTCCTTTGTTGCTCTGTGGCTTCCTGGCTGAAGAAGAAGGTCGGTTGCAGAGGAAGCTCATGGGGAAATCAGAAGAGGAAAGGAGGGGCCCTTTAAGGCAGGATGCAAAGGCATTTGCGGGGATTCCTAAGGAAGTTCAGATTCTGGCTTGAAATACAGTCACAATAACGTGGGATTTTAAGTTATTACAATAGCACAGTTCACACAAGCTGGCAAGGAAGGGAGAGTCCATAAAGATATGACATTCCTCCTGGTTCCTTGGCAGGCAAACAAAGTGGCCATCAAAGGGAAAATACAATACAAAGCACTGATTTTGGTCGACGTTGACACTATATGTATTTTATTTTATTTTATTTTTTTAAGATTTTATTTATTTATTTGAGAGAGAGAGACTGAAAGAGAGAGAGCACATGAGAGGGGGGAGGGTCAGAGGGCGAAGCAGACTCCCTGCTGAGCAGGGAGCCCGAAGCGGGACTCGATCCAGGGACTCCAGGATCATGACCTGAGCCAAAGGCAGTCGCTTAACCAACTGAGCCACCCAGGCACCCCAACACTATATGTATTTTAAATTACAAAAAATTGTAATGCAGTAAGGAGGCTTAGAAATCCTCTCCAGCACCCTTACTTTTCAGATAAAAAAAAAAAAAATGAGGCCAAAAGGGTTGAGTGACTACTCCTAAGATTATATTGCTTCTCAAGGCCCAAGGACAGTTTCCTGTCCTGTGCAGGCAGGATGAACCATTGCCTCACTGACCTCTGGCATAAAGACATTATGCCTACCCTGGATTCAAGCAGTCGGGTCTTCTCTGCATGAGCCTGCTTCAAAAGTCTCTCCATTTCTTCTATTCTGGCAATATTTGAAGTGCTGGCACTGAAAAGAACACAAAAGCCTTTCAAGAATATTGCTTGAGATTGATGTCTCTTGAAATACATATGCATACGTAGACACACACACACATGCACAGCTTCTGGGAAGGTGCATGACACAATCCAATGTCATTTAAAGTATGTTACTTAGGAGAGTCATTGGCCTGAACAGGCCAGGCAATTCAGCTCTGAAAATTGTAGGTGACATTGACTTACCTCAGTTCAGGAGACAAAATATAGGCAAGGAAGATAATACCAAAGTAGAATGCTTTACTCATAAATAAATAAACCCAAAATAACTCTTACAAAGTGTGTTCTCAAAACGCTTTTTCCAGAGTCTAAAAATTATGGACCGTGGGAGGCTTTCCTGTTACTTTAATTGTTCAGAGATATCAGGCCAATAAGACTATCACCAAAGTTCTATATAGATGACACCTATGGTTTGAAGTCACTTTATTTGGTTTGGAAATGTGTCCCCAGCTGCTTTTTTTGCTGTGCCTTTATACATGTGGACATTTTAGGGGGTGCCTGGCTGGCTCAGTTAGAAGAGCATGTGACTCTTGATCTCCAGGTCATAGGTTTGAGCCCCACATGGTATGCAGAGATTACTTAAAAAAAAATATATATGTATATATATATACACACCTGGACATTTTATTTCTTACATGATGATGCCAATTAAAAAAAAACAACAACTTTCTCTTAAAGGTACAACAGAAGGATGGTGGCTAGTTTTGTCAATAATACTCATCTACCATACTGATGAGGAACCCCCCCCCATGAAGGGAATCAAGAGCCTCAAAAGAAATGAATCTTGAGAAAGACATCATGCAAATAGGAGAAGGAAAAAACCAAAAGGAATAAAAGCTGCAAGAAGAGTTAGGGTAAGTAACGAAAAGAGAAAGAAAAGAACATGGAAATGTTTAACACTAACCAAAAATGTTATTTTTCTCTTACATCCAGGCATGACCTAGGTCAAAACTTCTTTACTCTGATGTTCTAGCCATAGAGAACCAATGCTATTTCCTGTGCATGTAGACTTGTATAGCCATTTAATATATGTTTGTTTTCTAGACTCTCCTGGGGACAGAGACACTTTTGTTCCTGTATGTTCCATAGCCTGGCACACAGTAGGGATTCATGTCAGATACATTCATATAAAAATGAATTCATATGAAAATGAAAAGGATAATTCTTAGTATAGTCTCCCCAAATTATATATATATGTATCGTAAAGATTTTATTTATTTATTTGACAGAGAGAGACACAGCGAGAGAGGGAACACAAGCAAGGGGAGTGGGAGAGGGAGAGGCAGGCTCTCTGCCGAGCAGGAAGCCCGAGGCGGGGCTCGATCCCAGGACCCTGGGATCATGACCTGAGCTGAAGGCAGATGCTTAACAACTGAGCCACCCAGGCGCCCCTCCCAAATTATATTGTTGATCAACTCAAACCTAGGATGTTTCAAACATAGGGCTAAATTCTTTTACAGAGATAAATGACCACAGTAACACAGTACATATGGTTTACCTTAAAATCAGTAGCAGCAGTTTTATAGCAGCTTTATTCCTAATGGCCAAAATTTGGAAGCAACCAAGATATCCTTTAGTAGGTAAATGAAATAACTGTAGTACTTCCAGACAATGGAATATTATTTAGCACTAAAAAGAAATGAACTATCAAGCCATGAAGAGACATGAAGGAAGCTTAAATGCATATTACTAAGTAAAAGAAGCCAATCTGAATAGGCTAAATACCGTATGACTCCAACTTGATGACATTCTGGAAAAGGCAAAACCACAGAGACAGTAAAAAGATTAGTGGTGGCCAGTAGTTTGAAGTGGGGAGTGAGAGGGAGGGAAGGATGAATATGCAGAGCACAGAGGATTTTCAGGGCAATGAAAATCCTCTGTATGACACTATAATGATGGGTATATGAAGTTATACATTTGTCCAAACCCATAGAATGCACAACATCAAAAATGAACCCGATTGTAAACTATGGACTTTGGGTGTCAATATGGGTTCATCAACTGTAACAAATGCGCCACTTTGGTGGGGGATGTTGATAATGGGGGAGGCTGTGCATGGGTGGGGACAGGGGGTATATGGAAACTCTCTGTACCTTCCTTTCAATTTTGCTGTGAACCTAAAACAGCTCTAAAAAATTGTCTTTTAGAAAAAAAAATATCAGTATTTCCTGCCCTATTACAAAGTGCATCCATCCGGGAAAGGGACAGCCTTAGAACTGTTGTCTCCTTGGAAGCTTACCTAATCTCTGTACTATGTAGGGTTACTTTGGGCCAATTTTTAGCCAGGTGTGTTCTCCTGATAAAGAGAGAACAGTTCATTTCCATGAACTGCTGGGGGAGGTAAAAAAGGGTAAGTTCTGTTCTCTTCAATCAGGAAGAATTAAAGAAAAAAATCTTTAATATTTTTGCAGGAATTCCTCTTTATTGAGAACAGTCAAGGTCATAGATGTTAAGTGGCACACTTTGTCAGCTCAACTGAGAAAGCCAAAGACAAACATCAGGCCCTATAATCGCACAGTATCGTGTTTATAATTGATAGTGTTGTCTGTGACATCAGGTATATATGTCTTATGTTTCCTATTGATCTGGAAATAAATAATTTGATTTCACTAAGTCTCAGGTCTTAAAAACTCACCAATTAAAAAAAAAAAGCACTCACCGATAGTCTAACCCCCATCTGTCCTTCAGTTCTTTCTAGAACATACTCCTTTTTCATTTAGTTTGTGCCTGAGCATTGTTAGCTACAGAAAACTTACTGTATCCATTCCTTCATTGTTTGGATAACATTATTAGAATATTGATACTTAAGTTGAATCAAAATCTATCTTCCTACAGCTTCTATTCACTGGCCTAAGTATGACCTTGAGCTGCATAAAACCTATCTGGATGAACTGGTTGGAAATAACTTGGTTAGAAACAAATATTTTCAGTACATGGTTTTTCAGATATCTGTAATTTGGGCACATCCTGGGGGAGAGTTTTCAAATAGTTATCTGTCTTTAAATATTTCTGTTCATTTTTTAGAATTTTTCAGAGTGTTTTCCATTTATTTTATAATATTTATAGTTAATTTTCTGCCAATTATATTCAATTTGGTTATTTGGCAATACTTCCATAAATATCTTAACTTTTGCTCCAAAGGAACTCAATTTTTCTGAAAACATTTGATAGAAAATACATGTTAACATTTACCACCTTGTGTCTTCATAATCTGTAGGCACCTAAAGTCACCTACTTTTTTAAGCTATATTTTATAAACTTTTAAAGCTATGTTGGTTATTTTGTTTAAAAAAATAATTTGTATCCACGGACACCTACTTGTTCTCCATAGCCCCACTTTTGCTATTTTTGATTTTAATATTTCCTTGACACATAAACCACTTTTACTAGCCAAATTCCCGCTGCTCTGTGATACTCTGTCACCATCATTTTTACTTTTTTGTCCCATCAGGGTTGCACCTACCCTGAAAAGCAAAGGCTGCTGCAATGGGAATGTAGGGAAAAGTCTACGCTTGTCATACCATGGCATCCATGGCAGACGTCGATGTCAGCAAGTGAAATGCTGAGCACCTGCCATGCAAAAGCAGTCTGAAGTCCCTGAAGATAAGCTTGATAATGAATTCCCTAGAGCACAATACTCATCTTTGCTTTCTTAAGCACATCCAAATTATAAGAAGAGTCATGTTTCTTTCCATTGCTCCAACTTCTGACCTTCTTCAAAAGGCAGGCACACATTTCTGATCTTGCATGTGATTGCTGTAAGGATGCTGGTGATACTGAGTCACTGGGCCATTAATGATATAAAGATGACTAGTTTTAGTGACTTTTCCTACTTGGTCATGTTCTGCTATTTTGTCAACTGAAGATTTCTTTGTGCATCTGACCAACTTTGGTAAAAAACATATTCATAAAGAAAAATAAAACTTCCATCAAGGGTAAAGGAATCTAAATAGCACATTTAAGGTTTTTAGGGCTTTTTAGAATATTCACTTCATAAGCAAAGGCAAAAACAGAAAAAGGTTAAAAAAGAAAAGCAAATAACAATGGCATACAAGAAATAAGTAAGCAAAGCAAAACAGAACAAAACTAACTGGAGCAAAACAAAATTCTCCTGAAAGACAGAAAACTTTTCCAAGACGGCCCTCAGTGCACCAGTATTGCCATTAAATGGAGCCAGGGGGTGCCTGGGTGGCTCAGGCCATTAAGCGGCTGCCTTTGGCCTGGGTTGTGATCCCAGCGTCCTGGAATCGAGCCCCGCATCTGGGATCCCTGCTTCTCCCTCTCCCTCTGCCCCTACTTCTGCCCCTTCTCCCTCTCTCTCAAATAAATAAATAAAATCTTTAAAAAAAAATGAAGAGCCAGTATCCCAGAATATTTATTTTCAATTAATCTTCTCAAGTATTTTTTCAGCTTCAGCAAATTATTACTCCTCATGAAATGTCTAGCCTTTCTCTGTTCAGTAGCTCCTTGAATATTACAAGAACACAACAAGCCCTCCGACCCTTCCTAATGGTTTTTCACATGGTTTCATACACCTGGTCCCTTTGACGGTTGGCTGCCCCCCCCACCCCCCATCACTTTGGTTTTTTGTATGTCTTCCGAAAGAACTCCCTAGAATAAAATGCAGACACTGAGTGTTGACTATCTAGGGTAAAAAGCAGAATACAAACCTTTGCCTAAAATGAAGAAATCTGAAGCATCTGAAATTCAGATGAAAGCATCCCTTAGACCCAAGTTCAGCCACAGATTGCCCTCAACTCCGTGCCCAGTCTTGCTCCCCGCCCCACATGCACACTGCTGGCATTAAGCAATAATGAAGGATCAAGTTCCCCCAACATTTTCTCCAAGTATGAGCACAAGGTCAGGTCTTGGTAAATTAGTAATAGCAATTGTGATAATAACATATCATTGTAGGCGGTATGCCGAACACTACACGGTCTAGGCCAAGTCAGTAATTTCAGCAGAAGAGAGGTTTTATGCAGAATTGACTCTCAGCTGCCGTTTTCTGTGACCCAAAGCCTGTTTTCTTAGCTTTTTGTTTGTTTAGGGTGTAAGTAATGATGCTGAAAAAGCAAACATATGGTCTGCCTCAAGTAACTTTCTGGTGGACACAAAAATGATGTCTCAACAAAAAGCGAAGGGCCAATGTACCCACAGCTCTGAGTAATTCTAAAATTCTACAAATGGCTTCTTGTGACATAATAAACCACAAGACTAAGTTTCTGTCACTAGAATTTCAGCATGGAATTACCGCTTTAATACACATATCATTTCAGGGTATTTTAATACATAGCTTTAAAAAATCTCACAAAGAGAAAATGTTTTAGTCCTTTCTTTCTCTTTCTACCCGACTTCAAAAAGTTCTCATTAAGGATGTGTTGTCATAATATACATTCCAAACATTAGTTTCTTATTACCTATTTGCCTAATGTTTATCATAGTATTTTCCATTATAATAGTAGATACAAGAGCTTACCTTAGGGTAGTATGAATTTTTTAAAGTAGATGGTGGTACAGAAGCAAAATGTTTGTTTCCCTCTCTCTCCCTTATATACTAAGCCTTTTATAGGTATCTTCTACTTTGGTTTCAGTGCTTTTTGACATTTAGAGGATCAGACAGCACACTGATATAAATACTACTGGTAATTTCTGATCATGGTGATTGGTTATCTGTGACGGCTAGTGCCCTGGGTCAGGTCTGCATGAACTAAGGATACACAATGATCATGCTCATGCCTAACTACCTGCCGGAATGCCCCACAGGGACACTGTCTTCTTCATTCGGCGTATTGACTGGGATCATTCTCATTCTCTACCTCTGGAAACCATTTTAAGAAAAAGCAACCGGGCGAACAAATAAAAATAAATTCAGTCTTGCCCTGTCACTGTGCTTAAGTGTCCAGATCTGCACTTGTAATGCTTGGTAATTAGAATCGAAGTGGATCCTTTCTGAGTAATTTCCTGTGCCCGCTCTGTGCACCTGCTCTTCACCACCACTACATATGAGAGGTGGGGAGGGGTCATCTGGAGGGAGGAATACTTACTTTCAACTTTTGGAGGATGGACAAGGCAGGGAGTGGAAAAATGCCAAGACAGGCAAATGCTTGGAGTGTATTTATTTTACTAAAGACTGCTCTAAAATAGATAAACAGGGCCGCCTGGGTGGCTCAGTCAGCTAAGTGTTTGACTCTTGGTTTTGGCTCAGGTCATGATCTCACGGTTGTGGGATCGAGCCCCACGTTGGGCTTGGAGCTCAGTGTGGAGTCTGCTTGAGATTCTTTCACCCTCTCCCTCTGCCCCTTCCTTGCTCTCTCTCTCTCAAATGAATAAATAAAAATCTTAAAAAAATAGATAAATAAGAGGTCAAGCTATCAAGAGTTCACCACAGAAATATTGGTATAAAATGTTCACAATTATTTGGGAAGAGGGGAGAACAGTCTGCTGTTTTCAAAATAACGACTGAGTGCCAAGTGCCATCGAAGCATGGGTGTCCCTCCCACACTGGGAATCTGTGTTCTCGCTCTTAATGCCCATTTCTATTCCTCCTGTCACCATGCTATCATAGTTGCTGGGTGGCTGACTTTTGTTTGTGTCTTGTTATTCAGAAGCACCACATTTGATTAGTCAGTTTACTGTCATTTATGAATAACTGCTCAACATGCTAGGCTTTCTGTTCTGAGCACGTCAGCTGCTGGCACCTGCTGGCCCGGCTCGGACAAGCACAGGGCAGCAGACATCACCAGAGAACCTTCAGTGCCAGATGGTTCGCTGCCCACTCCTTCCACACGCTCAAGGGTCTCCCCCAACACAGTCGTGTGAAACTTTTTAAAAAGTGAGCTAGTGCATCTTTTAATACTGCATAACATGAAACACTAATCTTCTAACCTGAAATAATAATGGCAGCCCCCCAAAAAGCTTTATTCTTTTTTTTAAGATTTATTTATTTTTAGGGGGGACAGGGCCAAGGGAGAGAGAGAATCTCAAGCAGACTCCCCCGTCAAGCACGGAGCTGATGTGGGGCTCGATCTCATGACCTGGAGATCATGATCTGAGCCAAAACCAGGAGTCGGAGACTTAACCGAAGAAGCTCCCTAGGTGCCCCCAAAAGCCCTATTCTTTATCATTACATAATCTCCTCCTTCAATTTAGGTCATCCCCATGTGACAAGCAGCAATACAATTCTTACTGTTGCTTTAGTATTTTTCCCCAGAGACTCGTTTCCTTCTCTGATAGGATATATCCAGTAATATTAATATTTCACCCATTGATGCCGAAATGAAAATACACTGTATACTTTATTTACCACAGAATATAACACCTGTCTTCTTCTCCTTTTCCCCCACCCTTAAAATTTTCTGGCTATAATGTCTGGTTACAGTTGAGTCTCATATTCTTTTCATTTATGAAACATGAAATAACCCAAAGCTAAGTACATTTTGCTGATATTACTTTCCCTCTCTCGCTGTCATTCTCTTATTGTAGGTAAGGAGAGAGTAAATTATTCAAATCTTTGTAAAGAAATAAATTATATTTATAGGATGGTAATTTTCCATCAGAATGTTTTAAAATTCACCATTGTCTTATAGGCAAGAAACAACCCTTCACTTCACAGATTAGCAAGTAAATCAGGACCAAGAGCATTCTGTGATCTGCTTCAAGGAGCATGATTGCCTCCCAAAGAGCACACGCATTCCTGCTTCCAGCCTGTGGCTTCAGTCCAATAGAGGGAAGTTTGTTGATGACAATGATCCAACTAGACATTTGTATTTGGGACACACAAGTGCTCAATTAACATTTGCTGCATATTGGATGTTTCTTAGGTTGAAATCATAATGGTTCTCAGCCAATTAAAATAGATCAAACAAAAATTTAAAAAATAACAAAATTGAAAATATGGCCATTTTACTATATCCTGAGGTATTTATTCAGCCAGCACTTACTGAAGACCTACTATTTGCTAAGATCTCTGCTGGGTGTAGAAACCAAAAGATAATTAGCCATCCTCCTTGACATTGAGGAATTCACCAATTAATTACTGAAGAAAAAATTTTACACTGTCATGTGATCAGTGATATAATAGAAAAAAGAATCGAGTGCAATGGAAACACAGAAGAAAAAGGCCCTGAAGGAGAAATTTTCATGAGTTTCCAGCCTAAGTTTAAGCCTGAAGGATGAGGAAAGTTTCTCCAGGCTCAGATGGGAGTAGGGGGACGGAGATGGTAAAGATATTTGCAATGCCAGATACTACCGGTGCTCAGTAAGTAAGTATAGATTGAGTGAACACACAAATGGAAGGATAAATTGACTGTAGACAGAGTTGTGCTGGTAAGTCAGCTCTCTGGAGGGAATTAAAAACCCTGATAGAAGCAAATGTCGATTTATGTGGAGTATATACTCCCACCATGGCCAATTTCAAACTACCAACATGACATCACTGATCACACGTAGGTGGAAATATGCACATTTGGCACTTGCCAGCTAGTATGAGCCAGTGCCAGCCCACTGTTGCCTCTAGAGCACTCTATAAGTATTTGTGGAATGAAGGAGCCTATAAATGAATGAGTGAACAAACTACTTGATTCCAGGCCTGGGACCAATATGGTCAAAGGCACAGAGATTTGCGTATTCGTCACCCTCTCAATTAATAAGAAGCCCTGTAAGGCGTATCAGGAGGACAGAGTGAATGGGGAGTTGGGATGGGTCCAGAATGCAGGCTCTAGGGCATGACTACTCAAAGGGAAGTAGTTTTTGAAGGGGCAGAGTACCAGGACCAGATCTATATTTTATTTTTATTTTATTTTTTTAAAGATTTTATTTATTTATTTGAGAGAGAGAGAATGAGAGATAGAGAGCACGAGAGGGAAGAGGGTAAGAGGGAGAAGCAGACTCCCTGCTGAGCAAGGAGCCTGATGCGGGACTCGATTCCGGGACTCCAGGATCATGACCTGAGCCGAAGGCAGTCGCTTAACCAACTGAGCCACCCAGGCGCCCCAGATCTATATTTTAGATGTGCCTTTAGCTGTAATTCTGTAAGACCATCTTTGCTTGCCTCCAAGTATGAACACGAATGTGAATGGTTAAATCCTTACAAAAATTTTAATATGTGGAACAGCTAAAGCCTTGCTTTTAATGAAATAGAAGTGTAAGAAATCCTTCAAAGTTCTTACTGTCTTGTCGGAAATGATTTCTTTATTCAATCAAAAGATGCCCTAATGAGGCTTGCAGTCAACCAACAGAGGCAAATGACTTTTGAAGCACAGCATACACGTGAATTCAAATGTAAAGAAAGAAGAGCAGAGGAGAAAAACGGATTATATGATGTCTGACTGGCGAAGTCACACAAGATACAAAGAAATTACTTTCAAAGGCTGCCATGACACTCAACCCTCTTCTGCACTGTAGACTGTTTATGTTTCAGAAATTTGGGCTTGTCCATATACATCCCTCCAAACTGATGACTTTACTTTTTGAAATCAGCAGGTGCTTTTCTACACTGGAAACCTTAACCGTGAATACATCTTACCTAGAGATATTGTCGGGTGAGCAGGCGGAGATGCTGGTCTCCATGCTATCAGAGCTGTCTAGGCTCAACGTATCAAAGGCCTGGTCCTTATAGCTGTGATCAGGGTAGTGGAAACTGTTCAAGTAGACATTTGATTCAGATGCTGTGCGGTTGTAAAATTCAGAAGATTTCTGCCTTTGTCCTTCACTCATCTGTTGGTGATTATACCCTAAGGAAAGAGCCATAAATATGTTAGTATGCCTCATTTTCTAGTCTTAGATCTTCTGAGACTCAAACCAGCAACCCGAAACATCTGCCTATGAAACTTGGACCTTGGTCTAATTTGTTTTAAAGCCAAGAAGATCAAAGACACAGCATCATGCTCCGTGCAAGCAAGAGCTTCAAAGAAGTGGTCTTAGGAATGATCCTTTCACTCAGGGGATCGTCTCACGTCTTCCTTTGCCATTCCCACATTGCAGCGCAACTGAGAATACATCAGCACACACAAAAACAAAACAGGCAAAACCAAAACAAAACAAACACAATTAAACGCCCTGTATCTTCTAAAAATAGCTGGGTTCAAGTGAAGCAAGATGACTCCTGGTGGCAAGCAACAGCTGGGTCTTAGGCAGTCACTTCTACAACAGTATTTAAGGAATACTCGATCTGGTCGTAAAACAGCAGGTGGACCACCTAGGGGCAGGATTTAAGAATCTCGTATCTCATATCTCACTCATAGTATCACTAACACTTTAAATCTGGTAAAAATCCAAGCTGCACATTTTTCTCATTCTTCTTTTCTTCAATTTTCCTTGCCCGCCAGTTATTTAAAACATTCACAGTCAACAATCCTCCCAATGGGCACACAGGCCTCCTAATTATCATATACAGAGCTCTCTTCTTTTTCCACCTTAGCTGTCAGCCCTCAGCTAGTTGGTGGTAGACAACCATATGAAAATGCAGAACTCACATGAATCGCAGCAAAAGTGCCATCGATAAGAGGCTTTTTCCTTACCCTGGGACTTGGTCAGCTGGCCTCTTAGGTCATGGGCTTTACTTTGTGTTGTTGCTATGGCTTGCTTGCGGGTGGCTGATTTGGGGCAATGCAAATCGAATTATTCTTCCTTTCAATTCTCTATTTGCCACACACGCAGGAAGCAGGACTCGTACTGATAAACCAGTTCCTCAACTCGTTAAAAGGACGTTTCTCCAGGCAGCCGTAGGTCGCCATCCCTTTCTCCCTCATCAAATTCACTACCAGATCCACTGAGAGTTTACGATTGGACCATTTGAATTTCGCCTCTTTCCTTGCGCTCTCCCTATCTTTGATGAGGCTTTTAACTGGTAATGAAATGGTCAAAAAAGCAGCCAGAGGGTGAAAGGGGGGCAGCGATTCCAAACAGCTTCCTCAGCTGTCAGCTGGGCATTCCCATTCAAACGCAGAAGCCACATCCACGAGGCTTTTTTTAAAATTTTTAAAATTTTATTATGTTATGTTAGTCACCATACAATACATCATTAGTTTTTGATGTGGTGATCCACGATCCATTGTTTTCGTATAACACCCAGTGCTCCATGCAGTACGTGCCCTCCTTAATACCCATCACCGGGCTAACCCATCCCCCCACGCCCCTCCCCTCTAAAACCCTCAGTTTGTTTCTCAGAGTCCATAGTCTCCATGAGGCTTTAACAAAGCATCGGACACCAAAAGTTTCTGCAAAATGATTTTAGTTCCATGGGGAGTTTGCATGCCAAACTATTTGGAGTCATTTTAAATATCAAAGTGCAAATATGTTAGTTCAGATGAGGGCGTTTCTGGGGAAATCAGTTTTCTTAATATAAGCTGTAATTATAAATTACAAATACACACATAAGAGCCACATATCACTTAGCTAAGGGAAGATGCAACACAGAAGAGCACACCACGACACTTTCAATAGAAGGCCATTAATCGTAGTGATTAACGCAGAGAGCATTAAGTGAAGCCAGTACATTCATAAGCGTGGAGCTTGTGCCTTTAAAAAAAAATCATTACTCAAATATTTACCTTTGATACATGAACTTCTGGAATTACTAATTGCTCCTTTTAAATCGTTTCCAGTTATTATGAAAAGGAGGGGGCCAAAAGAAAAAAAAAACAATACCAGAAATTTGAAAAAGTCACACATGAATCTTTCCTTATGCTTTCAAAAAAGCCTTATTGGCAAAGAAATCTTCCACACTGGCACCAACTACGTGGAAGACACTTCCTAGTGTTAGTATGAAAACCAAATCCCTAAAAGAGCCATGTAATTTAAAACATACAAGAATTATCTCCTTGGCACTGACATGAGGAAAGGCGAACCCCTATAACGCCACTAACACCTTCTTGGAAAAGCAGAAAGGACGGTGGGTCCTGATCCTCAGATCTTCCACGATTTTTTCCCCCCAAAAGTATCGCAGAATAAGAAAATGAGCTTACAGCCTTCACGTGAAGTAGACAGGACACTAAAATGACTCAAAAATTTCAGATGTGGGTGCAAGGGCCAGCGGTGTGACTATGTCCTAAGGACTGTGAACATAAATCCCCCAGGTCACCCCATTATTCATCGGAGTTTGGCTCATGTCTGAGAGAAACTTCCACCACTCTGGCAGTAGGATGAGTGAGTACCTTAGATTTTCACGGCAATTTAAGTGAAAGAGCCTGCTGCTAATGAGCATATATTTCCCGGCGCAGGATTTTTGTTTCCTGTGGATCTAGGGTGAGTGGAAATATTCTACCTCATGGAGAGGCTCATTTCTCCCAACTGGCAACCCTTTACTAATCACAGTGAACTCAGTGGCCACCTGGCTTAGCCTCCGCCCTCCTGAACAACTTCAAAAAATTAAATTATCTCTGCAATCACAAATAAAGGCCTGGACCCCTTCCCTGTGGTTCTGGAATTGTATCCGTGTGATTCCAAAGAGCTGGTTCTGGGACTCAGGCTGTGGCCTGCCTGTCCAAAGGTATAGAGATTTCTGATGGAGGAAACACCCCAGGAGAGCAGCAGGACCAAACGAGGAGGGTACCCTGGTAGGAGGTCCAGGAAGAACTGCTCGTGCAGCTAGGTAACCCCGGAACAGGTGCCAGCTATCCCAGGAAGGGGGATGCAGGTGTCCTGACCACCACGGGATCCCCATTTATTTAATATGGGGATGTCATGGCCTAAAGAGCCACAGAATCAATTCATTTTCTCATCTATAAATTCCAGTTTCAGCAATGGCTAAATAAGGAAGTGGAATGCATCTACTGTCTGGGTGAGGCAAAGTAAGTGCACTGGGAAAAACGAGACTTTCCCAATCCCTGAGACTACTCGTTTTTTTGTTGTTGATTTTAAATTATGTAGCAAGAATAACATCCAGCAGTGGGACAGCAACCAGAAAGCAAAGAGGGCCTTGTAAATGCTCTACAGCCTTCCTATCCAGGCAGAGATAGCCGTTGGAGGGGAAGTTATAAGGTTTGTAAAGTGAGAACTGACAGTATCTGAGGCTCGCCAATCAGCAGAGCACATGCAAGGAACCCAAACTAACTCAGCTCTCATCACTGGCCAAGAGAGCCAGTAGAGCGGATGAGCAAGGCCCATTTCTTATTCTTATTCATGCCTATCTATGAATTCTGGCTAGTTACACCTGAAAACTCCTTTGTGACTTAACCATTGTGCCATTGTGGGATATACAGTTTTCCCAATATCTTCCAAATGTGTTTTGTTTCCCTCCTTTATTTATTTATTTATTTATTTATTTATTTATTTATTTATTTATTTATTTTAAGAGAGGGAGAAGGGGTGGGGCAGAGGGAGAGGGAGAGAATCTAAGCAGACTCCAAGCCCAGTGCAAGCCCAACACAGGGCTCGATCCCACAACCCTGGGATCATGACCTGAGCCGACATCAAGAGTCGGACACTTAACCGACCGAGCCACCCAGGTGCCCCGTGTTGTATACTTGAAATGGTTAACTGGGCTTAATACAGAAAATGAGATGACTTAAAACTATAATCTGGGTTTAAGAGGCTAAAAGTAACAGCCTTTCTGACAAGTTAGCATACCATAGCTCACCTGCTGAGAAATTCATCCTTCCTAACCATAGTCCACAGCCGAAGGTGAAGGTACAGGAGGAGTCACGAATGAAGGAAGGGAATGATGGAGAAAGGGAGAAAGAGACAAGATCAGAAAGGATGCCAGGAGACCAGGAAAATATGCCATCATAGACAGTGTTAGTCGCATCGCCAGATTAACAAGGCGAGATGGATGTTCACATTTCTAGATTGCATCTGAGTTTATAGAGAGGAATTTGAGAAGTTAAAAAATAATAATAAGCTTATGGTACATGCAGACAGTTAGTCAACAACATTTGGAAAGAAACATCTTTCACACATATTCGCCAGCCAGAAAACAGGGAGAATAAAAAGGAGATCATAGCAATAAAACAGTTCTTTTTCCCAAGCAGACAGCAACAGATAGTTTTAAGAGCTAGGGTTCATAAAATGCCATTCAATTATTCAAAGCACAGTCCCCTCAAACTTTATAACCAGTGTGTCCTCTGACACCCTGCATCTCTGCCACCCGGCCCCAGTAATAAGCATCTTATTTATTCAAGCCAGTCATGCAAACTGGTCTTCACTCTGCACGAGGTCTGTCTTCTAAAATAGGCTTAACTAGAATAAATAAGTAGGAGCGTCCTAAATCCTTCCCTCCTCCCCTTTAGCCAGCCTTATTTATACCTGGCCTTTAGAAAGCAGAAACCTCCTGTTTTACACTAAGCCTATATACATGACCATGCCCACTCTTATGTTTATCTAGATTCTGAGTCTTGCAAAACAATGCTTGCCCAGCACCCTGGTTTCCTGCAGGGTCTGACCTTGTAATAAAAACAACAACAAAGGGGTTCCTACAGCTGCCTGTGAATGAACAGCAGCTGCACTCAGGATTGTGTTTCTAGCAAACCTGCAACAATTTTTCTCTATTGTGTAAAAGGAGTGATCCTTAGGCTAAAAATCCACTATTTTACAGTTTCAAATCCGATTCATTTCTTAAAGATCACTTAACAGTGACCTTACACTATTTGCTGAAAACAAAAACACCACACGAGGAGGTTGTCATACCTTTCTTGGACTTTCCTGCATTTAACAGAAGACAAAAGGACAAAGATTTCATTCATCTAGAGCTTACAAAGGAACAGTTCACAAGTTGTACAAAAGCCAATAACCATTACAACTTTAAGAGCTGGGTTCCTGGGCTCTCTGCTTTAAACTCTGCTCTCAAAGATCTTTGTTGGCATGATTCATGTTGTCAGTTCTATGAAAACAGTGCTGATGGAAGGAAGGCTTATACTTACACCATTGTCCTTGATGTATCCATTGTGAACAAGCAGCAAAAAAAAACAGTTCATTTAAGTTAATTGTGTAACTCCCCCCAAAATGATAAGATCTATTACATTTGAGTCAATGAAAATGTGTTGGGTCCAATTTTCTCAAAACCATGGAATTTTACTTGCGTTTGCCATTTTAGTGACGCCAGTACCGTGTTAGCGAAACAATTCTAAGTGCAATAATGCTTCATCCCTCCTGGTCTTTGTGGGCCACCTGTATGGGCTTAGGAGAAAATCCTGCCAATTTTCCAGTCTATTATGGCTCTGAGAAGTGCAGGCCCTGGCCTCTCCCCCTCTGGCTTCACAAGACACATCACCTCTGCTTGGACCAACACACACAGGATGGTTCTCGATTTCCTCAGGAGGTGCCTCATCAGCACCACATGGAACTGTTTAAGAAGAACCCCACCTGAGAGCTGCAGCAAGAAAGAATGCAGCCACAGTTTTCCCAGATATACAGAAGTGAAGTACATGGGTGAAGGACCAGAGCAGAAAGATAGCTCTAAGTCCATGGATTTTGCAGAGTACATCCCTACTAGGACCTAACAGAGTTGGCTCACATTTCCTCTATGAACCTAGCATGGAGATTCCCATAGAAAAATAAAGATCAAACATCCTTTGGTTTCACCAGAATTCTCGTAAGAATCCTCTTCCATGATAATGTTAATAGCTCTTGAATTCGCAAATCTCTCCAGTTAGTATAAAGGTGTGGTTTTTCTTACTCTTTAAGAAAATACTTTTGACATAAAATGTGGTGTTGAGGCCAATCCAAGCTCTGATGTGTTCAGCCAGTGGGAGAAACCCATTTAAAAAGTCTGTAAATATTCACAGAAAAATGCTTTAACAGAAAATAGACTTGACCCACAAGTGAAAAATGATAAATGAGAGCCCAAACATCAAGATTCATTTATGTTCATTATTTATAAATCATAAGAGATATTTTAACTTAAGAAATTATAGAAAAGAAATAAAAGCGAAGTTCAATCCACTGTATTTGATTCACATGTGAACATTGTAAACCTCCCATGCATTATAAACCTCTCTTATGAATACTACAGCCTCTATGAACTCTTAAATCATCTCTGGTAATGATTCAAAAACCTCATTCAAGTGATATATATATCCACATACACACATATACACATTTTATATATACCAAAATTCATATATATATATGTGTGTGTGTGTATGTGTGTGTGTATATATATATATTTTTTTTCTTTCTTTCTTTCTTTTTTTTCTTTTGGCGAGAAACCAGTTTTTATCCCTTGGTACCACTGGCAGAGGGCTGAGCAGTCAGAACTGAATTCTAGCCTGGCTAGAGGGAAGGGTTTCAATTACAACAATGCATGGATGCATTTAGAGCCCAAATGCCCACCACTCCGTCGGCATTCCCCTCTATATCCTGGGCATTCCCCCATCATGGCATGTATCACATTTCATTTAAATAATCTTTTTTTAAAGATTTTATTTATTTATTTGAGATAGAGCGAGAGAAAGAGAGCTAGCACAAGCAGGGGGCGGGGGCGGGGGGAGGGGGAGGGGCAGAGGGAGAGGGAGAAGCAGGCTTCCCGCTGAGCAGGGAGCCTGATCAATCTCAGGATCCTGGGATCATGACCTGAGCTGAAGGCAGACATTTAACGGACTGAGCCACTCAGGCGTCCCTTAAATCATCTATTATGTGTCTTTCTTCATCACTAGAGTGTAAGCGTGTCAGGGGTGAGGACTGTGTCATTCATTTGCATTCTTGGTCTCTAGCACCGTGCCTGCTCAAAAGTTAGGGCCCATAGAAACTATTGACCTAAATGACTGTTTTGACACAACTCTAATCCTCTCAATGAGAAGCTCATCTCTGGAACTGCATTATAGTAATTTCTCCCAGCCCCACAAAGACTATTCGATCCCGTTATAAATGCAATGTACTATTAAAAAAAAAAAAAAAGAAATGAAAGATGCTGAGAATCCAAGTCTACCTGAAACCCAGCAACCACATAGAAGAAAAGCTCAGACCACATGAAAAGCCCTAAGGGAATGCTGTCCTGGGCCACTTGCGTGTTAGCTCAATGACTCTTTAGCATATGTTTCAAGAGAGTAGTCATTCAGCCAGAGACGAGGTAAGTGGCTTCCTTAAGTACCCTGGTGACCTCTCCGGATCTCTGTGGTCTCTCTTTTCTTTCTACCCAATGGGAAGGTTAGTCATTCTTGAGGGGCCTTCCTGGTTTGGGAATTCTGTTGAATTAGGAAGCACAGTGGGTATGTTTAAAAGGTGCCAGCCGTATGTAGAATAGAAAAACTTACCTTAGTACAACAACAAGGAGATAGAAAACTCCTTGAGAGAGACGTCTTAGGAATAAAACTGAGGTTCCTGGTTGTTTCCTAATGATCCCCACCCCTGTTCTTGCTCCCTCTCCTGGAGAAATTCTCATGCTTAACTACAGACAGACATGATGTGTGATTTATTATTTTTTTTAATTTTTAATTTTTAAAGATTTTTTTCATTTGACAGAGAGAGACACAGCGGGAGAGGGAACACAAGCGGGGGGAGCGGGAGAGGGAGAAGCGGGCTTCCCGCGGAGCAGGGAGCCTGACGCGGGGCTCGATCTCAGGATCCCCGGGATCATGACCTGAGCCGAAGGCAGACGCTTAACGACTGAGCCACCCAGGCACCCCATGATGTGTGATTTAAAAGGCACCTACCTCTGAGCACCCTCCGAGAGTCTGAGTCTTTGGTCATGGCTGCCAGCGAGTGAGGGAGGACACTGCCACAGCTACTGCTCTGTCCCAGGGGCAGGTGAACCTGTGCGAACCAGGAGGAAATACTTCAGGCAAACTGCAGGCCAAATGGTCCTCCTGGACAGGGCCACATCCCCGTTGCCATAGCTCCAGCGTAAGCCCAGGGAAGGTAGGAAGGAGGAACGAAGGCATCCCGTAATTCACGCTAAGTGGCAAAGGCCACTCACGGACCCTTCCCAGGAGCCCCACAGCAGGCGCAACGTCACCGTGCTCTCTCCAGTGGCGGCAGTGCCAAAAATGAAGACAGATGGGGAAACGCTGTCCCAAAGCACCTTAGAGAACCACTCAAAGTTCTTCATGCGTAAGGAGCCGAGGGCAGATGCAGGGACAAGAATGCATGCGCCTCATGCACAAGGAAGAGAAGAGCTCTACTTGCTAGAAGTGTACCAATGCCCCTCTGCCCCTGAACACTGGAGAAACCTATTCACTATCCCCCGGGGGGTTAGCACTCTTTTAAAATAGAAAATCTTTAGTGTAAAATATATTTGGAACACCAGTTTATGAAATAGATTAAAACAAAGTTACTCTGATTGAGGGCAAGGGAAGGGCCCCAAAGCCTGGCCCACTCAGAACCTCCTTCTCATCTGCCTCTCCCCCTCTTTCTGCAGTGACCACCCCCCACCCCCGACACGTCACGAAACATGAGTGAGGACCCAAGTGTCACACCATATGGGTTCATCGTCCAGCTTCACTGCTAACCAGATGAGGGCGCTTGGGCTAGTCGCTTAGCCTCTTTACACCTCAGTTTGTCCGTACGTACAATGCGAATAATACAGAGAACTTTTGCTGAATAGTGTTGCCAGATTTTAAAATGAGACAATCCATATAAAAGGGCTTAGTCCAGGGTCAGGCTCATAAAAATGACTATCAGTAAATATTTGTTGCTATTATTCCTGGGATCCAGAGTTTATATCCTCTGGTTTCCAGATCTGGGAGGTGGTCGTGGGAATCTGTCAAGTAAGTGAACGCTATCCACCACTTAATGTGGTGATGGTAGGAAATACCCAGGACCAGGTTCTTCGGTCCCAGAGTGTACAATTCCGAACGTCCTCTGAATAGGATAGAAAATGCAATGTGGTTTTATGTCTGCCCAACAAGCAAACTTCATGGTTTATTATTCAGCATTTTCTATAAGAGCCTTTGCACTTTGGCCTGCATTAGGACGAGAAGACTCACTGAACGCAAAGCCCATGGTCCACCCCACGTCCTACCTTTGGGGCGGTGCTTCTCCCCATAGTAGCACTGCTGAAATGTGGGGATATGGAAGGTGTGGTTTTCTTTCGAGGCAAAGTGTCACTCAGATAGAGGCCTTCTTTATGCTGTTTTTTCCTTTCTTCCAGACTTCTAAAATGCTTTAAATGCAAATGTAAAGCAGAATAGCAAAACTTGACTAATTGAAACAGGTCACTGAAGGAATCAAGAAGTATGCATTTACAAAGAAGTTTGGGAATTTTAACACAGAATTAAAAAAAAAATTCAACTTATACTTGTGTTCACTAACAGACTAAGGCTAGCATTTGGTAAGATACATAGACACTGGAAGAATTTATTACTGAAATGAGAAACTTAAAAAAAAAATCCACCTTTCACTTTCCTGGTTAGTGCCTGCAGCCTTGGGGCCTCAGGACAACTTACAAATTATTATGATGGTCGCCATGTGGATGGCGGAACAGCCAGTGGACAAAGCAAGTAAGCAGTTTCTCCCCTTGTCTGTCTGGACAGTTCTGTGTGATGGCACAGATCCCAGTGTGAGGAGAACAGGGAAGGGAGAAGGGAGAAGATGGAGAGAAAGAGCGAGTAAACAGGGAAGTTGTTTTCAAGTCGGAATAATAGTTTACTTACATATAAACACTTCAAATCCATATAATGTTTCCATATAAGGCATCCTTCTAGGTTGTTCTTTCATTTAAAAAAAAAAATCTTAGCCAAGAAACCCCTACACTAATCCCTCGTATTTAAAACTCCTCCTGCTGACCATTTCTTTCTTTCTTTTTTTTTCAGATTCCTAAGGCAAAATTTTTGCCGACTTGAAATTTTTCCAAATTTTTCTTAGCCTCCCCCTAGAAGGTCTTGAGTAGTAAATTTATTTCCTAATTAAAGGTTCTTAGGGTTTGATCATTTTTATACTAAGCTCAGGTTGTTGAAATATATAAACATTAATGCAAATTTGAGTGACCAAGTTCATGATCAATCTTTAAACATGCCAGTCATGAAATATATCTGCATTTTAACTTTATAATTATCTATTTATACTAGTTAATATTTATTAACCTAAAAGTAGCGAGGAGATACAGTCCTAACAAGAGGTAAAAGGCAGTAGAGATAACTTCAAGAAATATAATGGCTGGGCCCAGCAAACCAGGGCCCATCTAATTTGGGGATCTAGTGACTATGATTCCTTAGCATCTTCTGGGGCCAAATTCATAGAGAAATCTGATTATAGTTGCAAGGAACCCTCAAAGGATACTTTTTGAATACTCAAGCATGATTATGCACTAGATGTACTAAAAGAAGGGTGACATTCGTAATAATGAATTGTTTATTTAAAATATGTGATTGGTAAAAACTTCTATGCATCAAATGCAGTATTTGTGGTGTGACCTTGGACAAGCTATTTACCTCTGCTAAAAAGCTTCCGTTCCCTAAATGTCAAAAAGGAGTTAATTCTTATTTTCCAGGCTTGTTAGAAGGAAGAAATGAGATATGTATTTGTAAAATGTTTAGCAAATTTTGACCCATAGCAGGGGCATGATGTCCATTATTAGGATTTCAGTAGTGTGTAAGAAAAATATTTTGTGTTGACACAGCAACTTTTTATAGCATGGATTTAATGGAAATAATTATTATCATTTGGCAAAACTACCTGAGACAAGTTACACTATTTTGGTTGAATGGGAACTGAAGAATGAGGGTATGACACGTACCCAGCTCCAATATATCAAAAGTCAGGAGAGGACAGTCAGGGGGTCAAAGTTTAGAACAATCCCAACACCCTTAAAAAATACTAAAGGTCCTTAAAAGACGTAAGAACAAAAACCAACCAAATAAAGGAAAACCCAGCAAAGGAATATGCACGTCTTTTTGAAAAAATGCCTTTGGAAAAGTGGAAGGAAAGATTCCACGTCAGTGACTGCTGTCAAGGTCAAAGTCTCAGACTCTGAACACCAGTGCCTCGTTACCTGTTGCTCCTGCTGTTGCTGCTGCCTTCTGTATTTCTTAGCTGGTAGAGGAGGAGGTGTGTCATTTAAAAGGAAAGGATCGACAGACGGAGCCAGGACTTCGGGCCAAGGGGCTGATGGAGGTTGAGTGATAGGATGAGGAGAAAGGGTGGAAGGAAACATAAATCCAGAACAGACAGGTGATCTTTGCTTTATAGGAGAAAGAAAAAGTATGTATGTGTCCGTATGAAATGAAAGAATAAGACAAAGAAATGAAATCGACAATCTCATTATTCTGTTTTCTTGTACTTTAATCGGGAAGTCACAAATCATGGGCAGGATCTTTCAAATGTAGCCTCTTGTTAAAATTCCACTCTGGGAACAACCTGGATCAGTTAGAAGGTATTTTAATTTGCTATTCTTTGCCCCTCCCCAGACGTTTTAAAAAGATGTAACATTAAAAAAAAAAAAAATCCATCCCGTAAACACAAGAGAAAACAAAACCAAACTGGAAAAATGATTCAAACTAACAATTTGAGAAAGGCTTTTTGGTTTCTATGAAAAGGAGGTCAAGTCAGAGGGCTAAGATCTAGAATTACTGTTTTCAACTTAATTCTCCTGGTGCTCCACTCTGCACCATGTATTTCATGATTTCCGGTATGAGGACTCACAGAACAGTGTCCCAGATGGGTATGTTCTTCAAACCCAGCATCACTCTGGCCCACTAGGTCAACCAGATGTACGGGTCACACACACCTTCACTTCTCAGGTAACCATGGGTTAATCTCTGACATGAGGAAAGCAGTGAATGAATGAAATGTCACGCCAACACACCTCTTTATTTTGTGGCTGGCTCACCAGCACAGCTGTGGCAGGCCCAGTGGCAACAGCATCAGCGTCAGCAGGGAACTGGGTGGAAGGGGATAGATTCGTGGAACTGACACATGGCTCATTAATTTCATTTACACTGATATAGCCCTAAAAGGAGGAATTCAGAAGTTAAACACAAAGAAAGCAAAAGCTGAGGCATGCAAGGGTATTAATGCTCCCAGTACAATGGAGTTAGCTTTGAGCAGCGCAGCCAAATATCTGTGGAATTACCAAATGTTTCATTAAGGGAATCATCAGCAATTAAAATGGATTTATGATGCGTACTCTTGAAAAATGATATTCCAAACACTACACATAATTTGGGGGGGGTGAAGTCAAGATGACTATCTTATAAACAACCCCAAACCTTCAATTTTAGATTATCTAGAGGTATCAGCATTCATTCTGCTGATTGAATGAGGATGTTACTATGCAACATTATAAAATAACCACACACACAAAAATCTGAGATATAAAATTTACAATGTAATCGCTCACTCCATCATCCAAGAGCCTTTTCCATAAATCTTTATTTTTAGATTTTCCTCTTTTCTTCTGTTTTTCGACAAGTTAGAGTGTGAGTAAAAGTGGGCTGAAGGCCTCAGGTTTTTGTACTACGAAATTTTATAAATACTAATTTATTTGTAATGCAATCTAGCTTTTAGGTTAGTTCAACTAAATGAGAATAAAAGGGACACTTGTCCCCTCATGAGCCTTCCCCAGCAAGACACATGTACACACACACAAACACACCCCTAAGGTAGACTTGCAGCTCGAGGCTATTTCAGTTCAAGGCAGCTTCCCCAACTCTCAGCTCTACCCCAGGACAGAGAATTGCCCGTGCCAATGATTCAGTTTGGCTTCAGCTTCGAGAAAATACCCATGAATCAAAACCTGCAAGATTCAAAACTCCTCAATCTGTATTTGAGGAAAAGGCACTTGTCAGTTTTCATGGGAAGTATTTGTACAGATCAATCATCATTTTCACCACATCGACAAAACAGTGGGAAAAGTAAAAGAGTACAGAATAATATTTCTCTTTTAAAAGTAAAATTGAGTTAAATTTAGCACTTGGCATCTTCTATGAGCCCACCAATCCTTTAAAAAAGTGGCTCCAGGGTAGGCGAGATATAATTATGTTGGTGAAGCAAAATTTTCAGGCTGGAAAGCAAGGTTTTTACTGATTTATAATCACGACAAAGTGGAGAAAGCTAGAGTTGACTATAAACTGTAGGTTTCAAAATGCTGGTGAATACAGTCTTGGATTTCATGGCAATAGATACCGTGTAAAGTTTCAGAAGATTAAATCAAAGAAAGGAAGTTGACAACTGGGTTGTTAAGTTTCATTTGGTCTTTGCTAATAAATAGGAATGAAGGCAACGACTTTCAGTTATGCTTTTGCTCAGTTGACAGCCTGGTGTCTCAAAACCAAGATTTGATTCTTTATACATCATAGACCATATAACCGGATTTATTGCTTCAAACATGGATGCCATTTGTCAAAAGTGGCACTTGTTTAAAAGAGTTAGATATAAATTAATCACTCCCTAAAAAAAGAGAGAAGGGTGAGAGAATGAGACAGTGGGGGGGCGGGGGGAAGAAAGGAAGAAATTCAAAACATCTTGTGAGCCAAGTCGGCTTAGTCCATGAAAGAGAACACAGTTACTTAACAAAGAGTTGGAGACATACAAATAGTCAAAAGCCAAATGGGCTTTTGGTACCAGGAAGTCTGCAGAGAAAAAGAACTCATTAGCAGAAAAGGGAAGATTTTATTCTTGTACAAGAGGTAAAAAGACCCTAGAGCCTGTCTCATTCATTTGGGGGCCACAGGCCTTCAAACTCAGTATGTCCAGAGTCAGACCGCTATCTTCCCTCATAATACATCCGCATCCAGCTATTTCTCTCCATCTCTGCCATTGCGTGAAGGCAAGACACCTGCATCTCCAGCCTCTGCTACTGCAACCGCCTCCTCACTGGCTCTCCTGCTCTCTTCCTCTTGCTCCTCATAATCCGGGTCAATAGCTCAGAGGGATGCTTAACAAATGGACAGCAAATAATATCACCTCCCTGCTAAAGACCTCTCACTCAGTGACTTCCCAGCCACACCAGATAAGGCATATTTCTTTAACACACATCACAAGACCTGGTCCCTGCCCGCCTCACTGACATTCTCTTCTTCCACTCCACTCCATCCACTACGACCCTGTGTTCACTGAATCTGCAAGTTCCGTGTTCTGAATGATGGAGAGAAACTATGAAACTGCATGATCTAATAAAGCTCTTGTAGAAATATTTCACAAAATGCTTCCAAGATACACATTATTCATACTTATTGTGTGATGAGCGTTTACTTCAGATACCTACACACACACACACACACACACACACACACACACACACAAAATACTTCCTATGTAGGAAGTCTTAACTCCGCTATTGTTTAAAAAGATATTTATAAATAAAGGTTTTTTTGTTATTACACACAATTTTATGCAGAAGCAAGCTTTTTCTTCAGCTTTTTGGAAAAAAACAAATACAAAGAAAACGATTTTCAGTTGGGACAGATGATAGCTACACTTGTGGTGAACGAGGCATAACATATAAACTTGCTGAATCACGAGGTTGTACACCTGCAACTAACGTCACATGTGTGTCAACTCTACGAAAATACCCAACTATTTTCTTTCTCAGTCAGGGTTATGACTTTCCAAATTAGAGTTAAAATATTCTTCCATTGTAGCAGCGTAGCTCCATAAAAAGGTATTTCAGAAAGATAGATGTTTGGGTGTCATCCTTGCGCAGGGGCCATGCTAATCTTCTCTATATCGTTCCAATTTTAGTATATGTGCTGCCGGAGCGAGCACAAGATAGATGTTTGGAATAAAGAGTGTGTGGAGCTTAATGTAAGTAGGGTTTTCTAATTTAGGGAGGGAAACAGCAGAAACAACATTGGGGGAAAAAGAGACAGAGAAAAGAAAGGAACCAGGCTATCTTAGCAAATGTGCAGAGACATTTTCACTTGCTATCAGACTTAGGAGAAAGAGAAGTAATGTAAGAAAGAGGAGGAACTGAAAAGGGAAATTGCAGAGAGGAAGAGAATTTAAGACTAATCTTGGTTTGGATCCTAACTTGTTTGAAACCCCAAGTTAACCCACAATGTCACGGTCAAGCATGGTCTGCACATACACACACACACACATACACACACACACAGGCACAGTGCATCTGCATTAAATGCAAAGATAATCCGTGAAATCCTTAAAGCATAAATAAAAGGCAGGAAAACCAACAAAGCACTGAATGTTTTCGAAGTCACTCAAGTTAATGTTTTCCTATTTAGTTAATCATATAAAACAAAGGCACATCTCTTGATTTCTAAGGTGATGTAAGTGGACATGGAAAATCATTGCTTACCTCTTTCAGAGTACTGGGGTTGACAGGAAACCCTTTCCCCCCAGAGAGGCTGGAGTATTTCTTTTCCAAATTACAAAGATTTTCCTTTTCCTGAAGGAACACAAAATCTATTAAGCCTGGTCAATCTTGGATTTCCCTGAAGACTAATGACGTTGAGTATTTTATCACGTGTCTTATTGACTCTTCATATATCTTCTTTTGTGAAGTGTTTGTATTCAATCCTTTGGACTGTTTTTTAAAAAAATTTATTTATTGAGTGTTTATTGACCATTATTGAACTGTAGGAGTCTTTAACATATTCTGCATAGAAGTCCTTTGTCATTTCCTCTTTAAGAAACCTTTGCTCACCCCAAGGCCAGGGAAGTGTACTCGTAGTCCTACATTTTCTTCTAGAAACTTTATCACTTTAAATTTTATGTTGCAGTCCACAATCTGCCTTGAATTAATTTACATGCGTGGTGTGAGGACAGATGCATTAGGATTCATTTGTTTCCATGTTTACCCAAGTGATCCAGCATTATTTGTTAAGACTTTCTTTTTCCTCCTGGATTATATCGGAGCCCTTTGTCAAAAAAAAATCAATAAACAGTATACGTGTGGGTCTATTTCTGGACTTTCTGTTTGGTTCCATTGATCTATACCGTATGTCAGCACCTCATCATTGTAAATACTATAGCTTTGGAGGCAACCTTGAAATCAAATAGTATAAATCCTCCAACTTGGTTCTTGTTGATTCTCATTACTTGTAATTCTTATGTTCTGCAGCATTTGCCGTGAACACTGAATTAGTAAATACTGAACCATTGTTCCTACAGGAAATACACAGGTGGGTTACTGTGCGCTTCTTCACAAAAATTTCAACTGATCAATACATAACTTTGCTTTATGTGTGCTTCTGTTTAAAGACATCTTATTTGATATATATTGTTGATTCATAAACACTGAACTCACAGCTAAAAGCACTGTAATTTATGCCTGAATGAAGCTTATTTAACACATGCATTTTCTCCAGGAGGCACATTGCAACGTTCCCACCCTTAGGAACACTCGTACGTTAGCACTATGCTGGAGAGGCATTTTAAACAGCAAAATCACCAAAAAAGGCACAAACACTGTGAAAACATAGCACTAAATAATCCACAAAAAGGACGCTTATTTACTCTATGAGAGCTGAAACAGGAAGTTAGAGTGTTGCTTTGTTCAACCTCAGCTGGGAATGTATATGCTGCAGGACTCAAAATTTTTGCCGCTCTGCACACATCCATCAGTGAACTGTATGACAAGTATTGATTTGGGGGCTGCAAGTAAATTTTAGTGAGCGGGCAAATTCACAAACACAGACTCCTTGAATAATGCGGGTCAACTATAAATTTTAGCATCAACTTGTCAATTTCTAGAAAAAAAGCTCTGCTGGGATTTTTATTGAGATTGAGACATATCTGTAGATCAATCTGGGAAAATACAAATCTTTATACTTATAGACCACAATTTTTAGAATAGAATTATATTTTATATATTTTAATGAGGCAGTGGTATTTGTATGATGGTGATTACCCATTCTAAAAAATCTATCACTATGAGATTTCCCCCCCTTTTTTGCTAAAACTTCAGAAACTACTTAAATCCTACATATTATACTGATTTAAGCTGAGCCTTTGAATATCATGTGCAAAGGGTGGTGCAGAGGTTAATGGAACCAGAGCTCCTCCCCAGAGCAGGAGACAGGGATGGAAAACATAAATTCATTCTGAGATTTCTAGGTGTCAAAGAAGCAGGAGGAGGGGAGATGTCAGGGAGCTGTGCAGGCTACGTTAGGTGCACCTTGAGTGGACTCATAATTCTATGTGAAGGACCAATTTTCTTTCCCTTCTCAACCTAACAATAGTTAAGTGGCTAAGTTGAGAATATTCCAGCTACATGTCTTCTAGGGAGGAGCATGGTCTAGCCTCATCCTTTAGTCTCTCTTTCTTTCTCCTGTACCCCATTCTGGGTCCATCTCATATTTTCAGGATCCCAAGTGTCACATTCTAGGCAGTGGCCTGCATACAAGGCTCAGTGCTGAGACTAGCCCATCAATTTTAACTTTTGGTATCTTAGATCTTCGACTGTGTCAGAAAATCAGGCTGCAGGTTGGGCAAAGGAAACCCTTTATGTGCAGCCACATTAGGCACTAGGCAGATGGGACCACAGTCCCTTTGGTGAGGATGATCTTGCTCCCCTTAGGGGTGTCTACCTAGCCAATGAAGCCAAACTAAACCCAATGTGGCAATTGCCAGGAGGACCCATAGGCAAATAATTGGAGTTTGACACCACGGAAGCTGAGCCAAAACATTTGATAGCAGCAAAAAAAGCAGAATATGGGGCGCCTGGGTGGCTCAGTTGGTTAAGCGACTGCCTTCGGCTCAGGTCATGATCCTGGAGTCCTGGGATCGAGTCCCACATCGGGCTTCCTGCTCAGCAGGGAGTCTGCTTCTCCCTCTGACCCTCTTCCCTCTCGTGCTTTCTATCTCTCATTCTCTCTCTCTCTCAAATAAATAAATAAAATCTTTTTTTAAAAAAAGCAGAATATGTTCTACCTATTTGACGAAAAATCCGTTTTATCAAAAGAAGAAAATCTGAAAACGTACATGTTTTTCAAGTTTGAATTTCCACACCATGTAAAAATCATGAGGAGAATGTCCTTGTTTACTTTGTGAATTAGAGTTACTTATTCACAGAGCTTCAGCTTATTAATGTGGAGGAGTAAATAAAAATGTATATTTAAAAAACCTTCTTTAAATTAAAATCCACTATTCATTATTAAAAGGCACTTGCTTTGAAGGAAGCAACTTTCCCCAAGTTGTAACCTGAGTTTTATTGCAACCAGTGCTAAAAAGGAAATACTTACTCTTTGCAACATCATTATTAAATTATTCTTTTCTTTCACAAAATGATCTTGTTCTCTCTGAGCCTGCTGGACAATGTGATTGGCTTGCTTTTTCAATGCAGAAATTTTTTCCTGGAGGAAAAAAGATGATGATATACAGACGCACGTTAGACATTCACTGGTTTGCCAGTATGTCCTGGAAAAGGGAAGTGTTGACAACTGGATCAGCAATGACCACATTTTCACTGGTGGTAGGCAGTGATTATTATCTAGAGACTGTGAGATAGTCTCTTTGGCCTGCCAACCTGAAGGTTTTTCTTTACCTAGGGCCAATACAGTCCACGTGGTTTAAAATCTATTTGAAGAATGCATAAGTCAACAGGAAATCTTGTTTTAGACTGTAAATGAATCATCTTGGGAGACGCCTCATGGGAAAAATAACAAATGTAAGTTCTTATTTAGGCTGAGAGCTTAAGAAGTCACCTTCTTCATCTCCCTTCCCCTCAATTTTATTGGTTTAGTATAGAGCACTGGGAAGTGATTCTAAGTTTTGGAACAAGAGCTGAATTGTGGGGCGGGACATCTGGGTGCAGGAGGTGGGTGGAGCCAGCGATGTGCATGGCATTTGGCGGGGCTATTTCTAATGTTAATAAGCTATCAGCCAACTTCGAGAACTATGAGCAGTGGGAAACCGAAAATGCCAAAATAGACTTTGTTCACAGAACTATTCTAAATCTAGTTACTGGGATTGTAAAAGCAAGTAACTTAAAACAAATATCTGAATTTCTGATTTTTCTCTTCCTTGGTTTTCACACAAATGAAAAAAATCAGACATTATAAATCAATGGCATCTACAGCATTAAGTAACGGTAACTGTAACACATCTCGGTATATCCAGCTCGGAGCACCATTTGGTACGTAGATGGCAGGCTCCATAATCTGTCAAATGTGACATGTGGTGAAACACACACAGATATTTGGATATAAAGACAGGTAGACAGAGGGCTACATTAATGATTATTCCTGTCATGGAGTGTGGGGTGAATGTGGATTTTTTACACTGAATGACACCTGGCAAAAGTACCTTTCGAGTCACGATGTTCCGCTGATATTCGGCTACTTCACGCAGGAGCTGTTGGGTCAGGTTCTCCTTCTCCTCATCCAGACGGCTCTCACGCTCAAGCTGCTGGAATTCCAGGTCTTCAAAGTGTTTGCTCTCCACGTCCAACAGGTCGGCATCCTTTGGGGAAAAGGGAATGAAAACAAGACATACCAGAATGGCTGTAGCATTCTTAACATGAAGGAAAAAAATATTAAAAGCAAACAGTCCAAGATATCTTTCTAATTATGAAGCTGACCAGGGTTGGAACATGATAATCCTCTCTTTTGGAGTTAAATCCCAGAGCAGTGACCATCAGAATGGAGTCAAAAGGACCGGGGTGGGGGGCGGGGGGAGAGAAGCCCTGGTTTGAGACTGTTCTGTGGATGTAGGAATTCTTGCTTTAAATCTACTAGGTGGTTTTAAAATGGATCCTGAAGTAGAAAAGGAATTCATTAGTAAATAACTAAACATTATCTGCTGACCAAGGTGTGACATGGTCTCTTGAGAAAACTCCCATTTTCCAAAATTTTCAAATGAAATGAGATTTTAGTATCAAGATCAAATTCAAGCTTCCAAAGTTACTGACTATAAAACAAGACTCAAAATTTGGCACACATACCGATTAGACCTATATGATATATACAGGCATGGATGCTCCAATAATTTTATTGAAAGGAGAAGTCATCGAAAACATTTGGCGGTTGGTATTCTTACACTGGGCTTCTGTGACTCCCTTAACATTGTATACACAGATTTTTACTGGAAGAACAGCATTCATCAGGCACAAAGAAGGTCTCTAATGGTTAAGTACTACCACTCTGGGAATAATCTTGAGGACATTTAAGAAAGATCAGAAATCATAAAAATCAGATGGTCTAGAACAGGCGTTTCCTAACCTATGAAATGTCTGAAGACAGAAGTGAATCTCTGTCTGTGCAGAGACTGGCGCATGTTGTATAAATGATTCTTCAATCTACATTAAAAAAAAACACTTCCTTCATTCTGGAGCCTTTGACAAAACCATAAATGCGGTAGGTATAGAAGATTTTAAAAAATATATAATTTGTAAATAATCTATGGCCAAAATGAGACAGCAGCTGGGCTATATGGTTTATAACTCTACATAGGCAAAATAGCCAGGACATGTTTTTTTTCCATTCAAAACAACAGAAAGAGTTGGATAAATGAATATGATAAATTAGATTTATATCAGTTTTTACACATACCACCCCCTCTTTTGTTTTTTAATGTGAGTGATAAATTAGGCCTTTTAATCAAATGGAATAATACATTTCTGTCTTCTGGAATGAATTTTATTCTGGGGATGATTTCATAGAAGGATGATTAGCTACCATGTAATTACAAGCAGCACTATGGCAACAAGATTATTATGTCAACACAGTGGATTCTTAAAACTGAAGGGCAAGAAAAACAATTTGAAAAACATATTCAGCATTTCTTAGCACCCTTTTTTTTTTACAGTTTAATTGGCCAAACAGAAAGTCGTCTTGGTGTCAAGTTATAGGTGGACATTTCAAGTTTATCAGACATTTTATGCTTATAACTTCTAAAGGAATGAATGAATTTGGCCCAAATCTAGTGACTACTGAAGTAATTAAGAGATAACCCGAGGGTTATGTCTTGAAACAAAATACTTGCAGTCTTGAAACAATACATCAGTGGATATATTTACTCATGGAGTCATTCATAGTCAAGTTTTTAAGGTATTTCAATTAAGCTGGGTTTGCGGCTAAAGATTATTGAGAGAAATAGTTTCATAAACCTTTTTTTTTTAGTTTATAAATAATTTTTACTCGAAGTGGGTATACGTCTCACAATACACAATACACAATATGCTAGTCAGTCGCTCACTCCACATCTGGTTAATAGGCAACATGTGTTATCTTAACCGCATGAAGGTCACAGAGCCACTAATCTGTTTGTAGTAAATATTTAAACTGTTGCATGAAAATAATAACACGCTGGGTAGGAAAGTTGAAATTTAAAGCTAAACTTAGCACTCACATTCTGTTGGTATAATCATCTGATCAAGTCATCCAAACAATTAGAATGTGTGTATATAAACTTACACTGTAAAAGAAAAACCATTGGGGAGGGGAAAAAAGCTTTGCTAAGATTTTAGATAAGAATAAGAATTCAGGGCATGGAATTTGGGGGCAGGAATCGTTTAATGGAGCACACAGTAATATATATAGGAAGCTCAAAGTTCAGGGCATGACTAGTTGGATGAAAATTTTAACTAAGCTTCACTCGCTAAAAGAACATTACAAATCTCTACTGGTTGGCAAGCTCAACGGGCCAGGCGCCAAAGGACATAAAAGAGCTGTGCTCAGGAAAATTCAATGCGATTCCTTCTTTTTTTCCAATAACTGTTTTGAGAATTTATATGGCAGAAGTTTACGTGCAGTCCTTTGTGGGTGTTTTTGCTCAGCAGAGGGACAGAAGAGGAGAATAGATGTGGTATAGCAGGAGAGATTAGAGTAATAACCTCATGGAGCTCAAGGTCAACTTTGAAAACAAATTTAAGTGGGGCTCAGGGTTTGTTCACGTTTCTCCATCTTACGCCCTATAGTCAAACACTTTAACTGCACGGTTTTGGAATTTGGAAAAAGACAATGGAAATCATTCGTGCAACCTTCTCATTTCATATATGAGGACACTGAGATCCACAGAAGTTGAAGGACTTATCCAAGATTGAAGGATAAACCAATGGTAAAGTTAGTGAGAAAAAGGTCTTCTAGTTGTTGATATCACTGAATATGTGTGTCTGTGTATATATATTAATAATAATATATATATATATATATATTAATTAAATCAAGAGACTGCTTCAGTGAGTAAATTATCAAAAGCACAAGAAAACTGTCCTAGCCAGGTGTCTTCTCCATTTACTAGTGGAACTTCTCCTGGCAAACAAAAGACTCATTTAACTTCTGCTTTCTTTTCCAAAATGCTTGCATCCTAGGGAACAGTTCAACTGGTGAGCCCACCTCAACTACATACAACTACTCAGATGAAAGCTGCATTCTGACGCTAAAGCAGGGAATTAGAAGAAGCCCAGTCATAAAGCCATAGTGTTGTGCACAAAAAATCATTCCAGAACTTCAGCTTAAGTACTTGGGATAACACACAGTTTAAGAAAATGATGTTCTTCCTGTTCATTTATTTTTTCTTTTGTATAACCTGCCACCTAGTGAAGTTGGTGGTAAGAAAATCACCTTTACTGCATCTAGTTTAAATGCCTTTGGGAAAGCTTTCTAAGGAAGGGGTATTCAGAAGGGTTTGAAGTCTTAAGGGAAATGAGCTGTGGTAACACAGGAAGTCCCTAGTATGAATGGACTTCTCATGAAATAAGTGGACTTTTTACTGATTAAGCCGTGGGATTGGTGGAGAGTTACTCTGGACGTCATCCCTGTAAAATTAATGGACCTCTTAATACAGGTGAATAGAAGCTACTACAAGCCAGTTATCTCTCCCAATGAAAGGAATTTATGATAAGAATTTTACACTCTGCTTGGAGAGAAAGAGAAAAGGGGTCTTTGCTGTGAAATAGTGGAAGAGGCTGTCTGCATCACTTCCTGTCCTCCTTTGGACATCCTTAGAATGTACATACATTTAGAGTTATCCTATAGAGGCTAGATTAAGCAAACGGCCATTATTTGTATCAATCTGAGTCTCAGTAATTAACAGAATTTACTAATTTTTATTTGCAGCAGTGTTTATAAAGAGTTCAAGCAATAACTGGATAACTAGAGGCAGAGAAGAACAAAATATGTAAGTTGCTGCTGACTTTAGATAAAGTAGTAACATGACCACTGTGTAAAATCATTAGCAATGAGGAGAGTTGAAAACCAGTGAACAAATAATAAAAGGCAGTTTCCCAATCTCTTCAGTGAACTGGCATGAACACAAATTACAAGCAAAAATAATTTTACAAATACTAATGTTTTCCCAATTATTTTCATCACAAGATTTCTAGAGAATTATGACACTGAGGGACAGGAAGTTTTCTCTTCTTACTGCAAATTCAGCTGTATACAATAAAAGGAGTAAAGAGGAAGAAACATTGTTGGGACTTTTTTGATCCAACATAGTAAGAAAGTTACTATTTGTTAAAATATTAAAATCGTTATGCTGCAGGTTAACCTGTCTGCCTTTGGTACTATTTATTATGATGCTTTCAACCTCTGTATTACACTGAAAAATTTTAAATGTAATTTTTCATAACCTAATGCTACTCTAAGTTATCAAATGTTTTTGTATTAAAGGCTATCTTAAACATTTCCAAGGTTGGGGCTACCTTAGCTGATGTTTCGACTTGCCCACTCCCAAGAAGGTCCTGACAGAATAACATGAATGAAACTAGCCTTTCTTTTCTAGTCACATGGAATCATGAGTTGTTAGTCACTTAGCACAAGTCACTATGACATGACTCTTCTAGAGATCCAAGACTGTTCCCCCAGGGTCACGGTTATTTGCGTTGCTGTTCAGAGCAAATGACCCAGTTGTCAAGAGGCTCTGAAATATTAAGTGGTCTTGCCAGTGTTTGTGAAACTCTCCATCTCGAAGCCTCATTTCAGCAGATGACCCACGTGATCATGTTAAGCACAGCCAACTTCAACGATCGGAGGATAACCCGATAAAACCCACCAAAAAGTCCACGCTGCACTAAGCTTTAAAAAATGATGAAGCTCATCTAAGAAGATGTGGAGGGCATTGCCCTGTGTCTTGGGTCTTGGTGTTTGCTGTGGCTGCGCTAACGAGTTCAATGTCACTAAGAGGCAGAAAGAAAAAGAAACACAGTGGGTGGTGATGGGAAGCAAATCAGAGAATAGGATAATTTGGGGGGCCAAGTATAAAATCAGGCTGAGAGGAAAAAAAAATCCAAGGGTCCAAGGGCAAACAGTACTCACGATGCAGCAGAGAATGCAGGGAAAGATGTCAGTAGATTTAAATGCTACAATCTCAGTGTCGGTTATATGTCACAAAGAATGACTCTCTTTTGTTACAAAGAATGACTCCAGAACTGTTCTTTTGCATTATAAATGAGTGAAGGATTCTAACAAGGAATTGTTTAACTGATTAGCATGAAATAATATATTCTGTCAGCATGCATATTTCTATTTGAAAAGTATCTAATGACCAGAACTTAGGCAAATTTATGCTGTATGAAGTAGGAAGTCATAGGTAAGTGGAACTTCATTGAAAAAACACCGAAAAACAAAAGACGACTGGCACATTCCTGTTTGCTACTGACCCTCTTCAGTTGTTGCTGTAATTGCTCCCTCATGGACTCAGGACAATTGTCCAGCTGGGTCTTCTGCTCGGAGTAAAGCTCCTGAAGCCTCTCTAGTTTTTCCCTCTCAGCATCAAGCTTTACCTTCTCCTGAAGTTCAGAAATCAGAAAATAGAAGAATAGAAATTACCTTCACACCCGAAGCAGGCGTTAGTGAACATTTCCCAAGGATAACATCAACACACACACACACACACACACACACACACACAAACTAGATATCCTATGCATGTAGAAACATACCTAGTTAGTGACTAAGATAAGTGGAAGTAAAGACAAGGGGGCCTCATTTCTGCATTCTCAAAACACGGTCCATGTCACGTGGTACTGGCAATGACCCCCATCCTTCCTTCCTTCCATCCTTCCTGCCACCATGTTTAAAGTAGAAGAAGCTGGTCCATGGAGAACAAAGGACAAAAGAAATGCCAACCAAATTTATAAGATAGCCTTGCAAAGAGTCCCTGGGCAGAGAACCAGGCAAAGGAAAGCAGACATTTACCTCAAGTAAGGTTGTGGTCTAATTTGCTCAAGGCATTTGTTCAGCAAGCTTTGGAAATTACTGTAATTTTGTTCTCAGACCAGAAGCATGCCAGGTACACTAGTCGATGCCCCGATCACCTGAAATAGGTCTAGCTATTTGGCAAACTTCAAAGCTTAAGCAATTAGAAAATCTGATTCCAAGGCTGAGAGAGCAGGGAAGAAGGCAAGCCTGACAAAGCAGCGAGGGGAGGCATATCACACCGTTTGGATACACCGACATGTGACATTTATTGCGGAGATGAAGACTTCTCTACAGTGACTGACATGAAAAATACTTGAAACATGGACTGTGGAAAAAAGGAGAGGAGAACACCCAGGTGTCAGAAAACAGAAGAGAAAGGAGGAGATAACACTGAATCCTTCCCCAGTCACACACTCCAGGGACCTTGGACATTCTCTGGGGTCTTCCAGGCAAATTCTGTAATAAAGTCACCTTTTAAATTGAGAAACAATACTTCAACCTCTTTAGTGCTTGTCTTTCCAGCCTGTGTTTCCTTTATGATGCTCTGAAGCCTTGAAGTAAATTTTAGACCTGATTCTCCCCTGGTGTTACTCTGTCAGCAGCCTACACAGAAGCTCTTCATGAGGGGCACCTGGGTGGCTCAGTAGGTTAAGCATCTGCCTTTGGTTCAGGTCATGATCCGAGGGTCCTGGGGTCGGGCTCCCTGCTCAATGGGGAGTCTGCTTCTCCCTCTCTCTCTCTCTGCCACTCTCCCTGCTCATTCTCTCTCTTACTCTCTCTCAAATGAACACATAAAATCTTAAAAAAAAAGAAGCGTTGGGGCGCCTGGGTGGCTCAGTTGGTTGAGCGACTGCCTTTGGCTCAGGTCATGATCCTGGAGTCCCGGGATCGAGTCCCACATCGGGCTCCCTGCTCAGCAGGGAGTCTGCTTCTCCCTCTGACCCTCCTGCCTCTCATGCTCTCTCTCATTCTCTCTCTCAAATAAATAAATAAATAAAATCTTAAAAAAAAAAAGAAGCGCTTCATGAAGCGCTACCACAATTTGACCCTCAGTAAGCACAGTGACCACGACCTTACTCTCCTTGCTTCATTCACTCTAAGTGCAGATACCAATAAAACTGGCTTCTAAGCTTGATCAGAGAAGGATTTTTTAAAGGATGCAGCTCTCAAATAGTCCTATAAAATTACATTTACTATAATTTCTTCATCTGAATGGCCATGATTTCCCGTTTAAACATATCTTTAGATTCTTTATAAAAGAGATTATGGTTTAAGTCTAAAACTAGGACATAAATACCTATACCAATTCACTTAGGTGTCCATTTTTGGCAGAAAATTTTCAAATGTCAAGGGCATTTTAGAAATATGTATCTAGGTTTAGAAGTGCATTTTTTTCCTCTCAAAATGATTAAATCCGGAAGTTATAAAACTGAGAATCCTACTTCATATATCAATCTAAAAACGCTTCTGCAGGGGCGCCTGGCTGGCTCAGATGGTAAAGTGTCTGCCTTCGGCTTGGGTCATGATCTCCAGGTCCTGAGATGGAGCCCCGAGCCTCTGAGTCCTCGGGCTGCCTGCTCAGCAGGGAGTCCGCTTGCTTCTCCCTCTGCCTCTCCCTGCTCATGATCTCTCTCTGTCCCTGTCTCTCTCTCAAATGAATAAAGAAAATCTTAAAAAAAAAAAAGATAAAAATGTTTCTGCAACTGAAACTTTTGCAGACTATCCAGAAAGTTTCCTCTGTCTTTAATGGCAAGTGTGAGCCCTGTGCAGACCCACAGTGCAGGAGGTAGAGAGAGGCAATGGCCTGGCTCACAGAGCGAAGGATCATCACATGTTCATTCACAGAAAAGCTGAATAGATGGGGCCCATTCAGATTCAGTCTTTAGTTTCAGAATGAATCATTTTTTTTCCCTTTAATACAGCCAGCAATACAGAATACCAGTCGTCCTTTGGATAAGAAAAGGTGTTATTTCTTCTGTGCATGGATCAAAGATTGCCCTATTTATACAGCAAAAGAATTTTGTCCAAAAAGAGTTCTGTTTCTAGCTACTGTATCACTGGATTTTGCAGCAATTCTAGTTCTAAGAAGAAAGCTAAAAAAAGAAAGAAAGAAAGAAAGAAAGAAAGAAAGAAAGAAAGAAAGAAAGAAAGAAAGAAAGAAAAAGAAAGAAAGAAAGAAAGAAAACTATCCAATCCCCTTAAATACCAAATGTGCAAAACTGTAAAATTTAAAGTTACATTTGACAGAAAACATTGATATGATATTTGATCACATGGAAAGGCACTGGCCTGAAACAGAGGTCTCAAATCTGAAGAAATAACCAAACCATTCCTCTGATGCTCCCCATTTTGTATTACTACTAATAAGCACAGATAACAAATAAAAAGTACTTTATGTTTACATAGTGCCTTCCTTCTGAGGTGCTCAAAATGTTTTGCAATTCCGTACAAGGGGGCAGTGAGAAGAATTATGCAAGCGGGCACCATCAGAACCTTCTTTAGCTTCTCTGGTTTACTAGTAATGCTATGAGCACGACTTAGGTCTCAGAGCAAAAGCTTAGTGGGGCCAAAGTGAGGGCAAAGGAAGTAAAGGGCAAGGATGAAAGGACCAGTGACAGGTGGGCCTAGCCATCACTCACGGAGGACCAGAGAGGTGATATCACTCCAGTGCCAGCCAAAAGGTGGCCAACTCAAGCCAGAAAGAAATTAATATTCCTACTTTCTATTTATTGCCCAGAAAGTTTTCAAGGGAAAATTAGCTCTAGGCAACTAGTTAATTAGAGCTGAAAATATCACCTTCTACAGCAAAGCAATAAACTTAAATCTGTTCAATTTGTTACAAATTTATTAAATTTACTCATTAAAATTTAATAAATTTATTGAAAATTTAATTTAGGTTTTATTTAATTTAAAATTCATTACAATTCACTTAAATACACTCATTTCTTGAAAATAGATTCACGAATCCCAGCAAAGGGACTTATATGGCAAAGACAAGTATATGGACAAATTAGATGGCATGTCAGGGTTCAGGGATTCTTGCTTTTGGACATGCAAAATATGAAAACTAGCTGTTATTTCCTTCCCCCAGATTTAAACTGGTAAACTCACCTATTCTAATTATTATAGGCACAGCAATATTTTCTAAACACCAAATTGGCAGAGAGCTTAACTGTTTTTTTTTAGGATTCATGAATCTATTTTCAAGAAACAAGTGTATTTAAGTGAATTGTAATGAATTTTAAATTAAATAAAATTTAAATTAAATCTTCAATAAATTATTCAATTTTAATGAGTAAATTTAATAAATTTGTAACAAATTTAGGTTTATTGAAAAAATAATGACAAGGAATTGGAACACTCCAGGAAAATGCAGATGCACAAGGGGGCATTTATAAAACCAACACAGAATGTGACTTCACTAGAGACACAGCTGCTTCTGTTCACACTGCTCTTGCACTGATTTGTCTTCATGTACTGGCAAAATCCACCTGGGTCACAATTTCATTGCCAGATTCTGCCCCTTTTTTACATTTAACACTGATGTTCCTAAAGTTCCTATATATGACCAAAGGTACATTATTCACAGCAAATTAAAGCACAAATCAGTATATAAAATTGGGCTTCTATTCGCCTCCATGGTGAGTTGTTTATTCACTCACTCAGTAAATATTTACAAAGGGACTATAAGTAGAGAAAAGAGGGAACCTGATCATTGTTCTCACGAAGTACAGTCCAGTTAGCTCTGTGGTTCTTAGCTCAGACTGCACATTAGAAAAACCTGGGTGAGCTTTTAAATATACTGTTTTCCAAGTCTCCACACAGTCAAACATTCAGGAGCAAAATAGGGTATGAGTATTTTAAAAATCCCTCCATATTTTCTCATACACAGTCAGGTTGGGAAACCCTGAATGAGCCCCCCAGGATGATGTGAGAGGCAAAGGCAATTAACAACAATTCGCTTTTTTAAATGAAGACATGGGACATTAATACACAAGGCACCAAAGAGTGCTCTTCAAACATTTGGCTTAGTGCCTTCCCTTCATAGTATAAAAGGCCCTTTTACAAGTGACACCCCAATTGTACAGTTTTTTTACATTCAAATTAAATGCCTCAAGTAAACCAAACAAAAAATGTACTATGAGATTCCAAAATCCAATGCACATTCAGAGAGGAATGATGCATTTCAAGATCAGATGCAAAATGACTCTTCTAGTCAGACAAATGATCAGGAGTGTGGATGAGTTTACTCTAAATAACTTGAACTTATACACAAGAATTACCAGTAATCTTTAATGAACTAAATAATTTAAAGCTCATCTTTAGACCACTTATTTTGCTGGAAATGTGGTTAGAAGACAGTAATATAAGTTTCTCTCTTTTGAGTTGTATTCTTGAAGGAAGGAACTGAAATTGAACTTGCTGGCTTTATTTGAATTTCAATATTACACAGAAAATTCTTGAATCCCAATGAAGACATAATTTTACCACATCTAAGTAATATTTGGTAATCAAACGGTTCAAGGTTACTCTGAAAAGATGCTTACTTTATTAGCTTGTGGGGCTGTCAGATAAAATAGAGGACATT